GCCCTTTGTTGTTTTTTAATGTAATAAGAAGCTGGTAATGGTATATTAATAACTTAGTATGTAAATGCAACATTACACTGATATTTGTGACATCAATTTGCTTTTTGAATCTCTCACAAATAATTGAAACATCTTAAAAAATTAGAATTGTTCATTTTGTCACAAGAAAAACTTTATCCATTAATTCATCATGTATTATTAAATGTCAATGTTACTGTAATAGCAACTGTAACAATGAATCGTCATGAAATGCAATAAAGTAAATTGGACCAAGCTGCTGTTATAGTATCAGTTGGCATATTTAAATTTTAAAACACTTCATGACTTTAAAAGTGCTGTGTTAGGCAAAATAATAAACATGAGAATAAAAAATTATTCATTTTCAATTGTTCATTTTCTTCCAGTTTATTTATTTAAAATTTGGAAAATTTATTCAGGAACAAATTTAGTAAATTTATATTTTTGTAATGGATTAAATGATTTATTAATGAATAATAAGTAAGAACAACTGCTTTGTTTTTTTAATTAAATCTCATAATTTTACAATTGCAGATTATTAATGGGATAAATTATAAACAACCACTCCGGGATATATTTAATCATGTACTCTGACCAATTACAGTGTGTAGATAACGAAAACAAATAAAAACGAATGTTTTCAAACTCCTTCCAAGTTTTTCATCAGGTTTTTTAACGATTTCTTGATGAAGAATCATCAAGAAAAACCTGATGAAGAACTCAGGAGTTTGAAAATGTTTGTTTTGTTATCTACACACAGTGATTGGTTTAGAGTACATGGGATAAATTATTTTTATATAATAAAATGTCTTATTTTAAATCTTAATAATTTGACAATTCTAAAAAAAGATATATTTTTTTACTAATTAAAAATTTTATTTTGAAAAATGTGTCATATAATCATTTATAAATAATACAGCCTATAAATGTGGCGGAGCAACTCATTAATGTTGGCATTAAGTACTATTAATGTCAAATGATAACTATGAATTAATAGAGAGAGTTTTTCTAGCTCTGAAAAATACTGGATTACTTAAAAATGGTAAATTGGAATAAAATAAGTATCATGTTGGTTAAAAAATCATCTAAACAAAGTTAAAATGATAGCAAACTACTAGTGGCCAAGTGGTTTCATTCCTTGAATTCTGATAGTTCTGTCGTGGGTTTGTGCCTTGCCAGGATGGGTTGGCCATGTGGCGTTTTCTAGGTTTTCTTCACATCTTTAATGCATAAATAGGCGCCAGTTACCCTTAAAAGACCTTCCAGAAGGCATCTTCTCTAGGCGAACTGCCCAAGTGTTGTGTTGTTGTAACTAACAAACCATAAAATGATAGTAGAAACAAAGAACTAGTTTTATTGGAAATTTTCTGAATCACTATTGGTTGGTGGTAAAAATAGTGAGTCGAGTTGAGTAAAGAACTGTCAATTTGTGTTTGTGTGTCAAATGCAAGTAAGCATGAGCCCCTTGTACATATAATATTACAATCACTACTGAGTACTTTAATGAGTACTGAGGAGAAATTCAATTTCTCCTCAGTACTCATTAAAGTACATCATTGAAAGAAAGTACACTATAGTCTATTTATCGTAACTTGGCACCTACTGTAAACAAAGATTTTGTTGTATTAATCCGCTGGAGATTTTCATTGGTCAAATCACAATCGGAAGTGGCTAGACACGTGTTGACCAGTTAAGCCCCTTTCTCTTCATGTGTTAAAGTAGGTCAGAGTGGTCACAATTTAAAAATTACCGAGATAATACTTAGAAAATTTATTATAGCCTACTTTAACATTTTCACGTAGCCATTTAAATATAGTTTGTCAAAAATTATTATTAAATATGTGTTATTAAGACTTACACAAAACATATTTATAATTGTGTAGTTGAACATACTTCAGAATTTTTATCTAAAAAACTATTTTATTAAATAGATATAAAACAAAACAAAAAACAAATTCTCTGGCAATCCTTAAAAATCATACTCAAACCTCTAAAGGAAAATGTTACAGTAATGTGTGAATTTATCTATATGATATTTATATAATTAAAAATTTTAAAAAGTAATTACAGTGTAAACTTACCTTATTAATCATCTGTATCAGAAGTTGCTCAAATTAATCATTTATATGGCTTTCGTCACTACTTGTGTTCGACTGAATAATCAGTTTTTCTACAACAGTTTCCAAAATCTCATCAAGTTCCCACATTTGTTGTTCTTCTTTTTCTATATGTTTGATACATTTTCTCCATCCTTCTTCAGTTATTTGTTCGACAACACACATTTTGAAATAATGATAGTTATTGTAATGAATGGAAAACAAAACCAAGACATTATAGTGCACATAACTGGAAAAAGTTTATTTTTAGTGATTCAGAATGTGCAAATATTCATTAAAATAACAATTTAACAAGTATGAAATAATTACATTTATAATCATTGCTAAGTGACTAGTATTTCATTAATGATTTTATAAATAACAAATAACTATTTTCTGCGGACGAATGAGATGCAATGCGATTTCTAATTGATGGACGTGGATTTAAGCCAATAAACAAAGGGAGATGTGTCTTAGTTTGTTTACAGTGGGTGCCAAGTTAGGATAAATAGACTATAGTGATTGTTATCGATGTTGTTTGTTCTTAGTTAATTTTTCATTTGATAAATGTGAAAGTGAATATGAAAATGTCTAAATATAAAAATGATTTTTTTTAGCTAAGTAAATGCTAAATTTTTGACTGATGTATATCAATATGTGTGAATAGACAAAAGTTTAATAAATCATTTTCCCCCCTCTATTTTTAGATATAGAAAAACAAAAATTATCTCATAAGGAGAAAAAGAAAATGAAAAAACAGGTGAGTTTTACATTGATTTGAATGTAATAAGTTAAATATATACATAATAATTTTAATAATAAATATCTAAGTACAGTTTGTACAAATAGTCATAATTCACAATGGTGAATTTAACAACAAGGACAAATGACAAAGACAGAAACCAAACTGATGATTGTAACAATAATGGTAAAAAGAAACAGAAAAAAACGAGTGAGGAAAGACCATGAATTATTTACTGTAATGGATTGCACAGTTGATATTTCAATTATTTGAATCTTCTTTCTTTGAGAATGTTGTTATTATGCACACTCAATGCAAATAGCATTATTAATAGATTAATCAGAGTTATATTTGTTCATATCCAAGCTTTCAAACTGCCAAAATAATCTTTAATAATCTTCATTCATCACAAGTTTACTGCAGTTTTTTCAGTCGTCCAGTTAAGTTTTGTGTGTTTGTCACTAGAGGTGCCTCTATGTTAGTACCCTTTCAAAAATAAATTTATGTTTTCATTGATTATTAATGATTTTCTCTTTTTATTAAAAAGTTAAGAGTTTATTTTTATTTTCATAATGTATTGCTAACCTTTTCTATTTTTCAGTATTTAAATATTATTCTGATACACATTAAGGTTTTTGTTCAAAAATGTGTTAAAAATACTATATATATGACATATAAGGTTGGAAAATTAACAGTAAAAACCTTACTATTGTTTACACAGCAGTGGTTGTCAAACTTTTCAATTGCAAAACCAAATTGTTCCTAAATTGTAAGTAGGTGGGCTTTAAACATTATATTCAGAGTGGTCCATTTTAATCAGTCCACTACAATAACTTAAAATATGTGCATTCTACAAAAAATATTTAAACCAAAAATGGAGTATCATTTTTATCATAGATAGTACTACAATCAGTGAAAAGAGGGTCAACTTCATTTTCTTAATATGGGTCAATATAAAATGGGATTCCCATTTTCATTTTATGAAATTTCATAAGAAATGAAAAGTTCATTTTTTGTGAGGAAGGTCCTAGCTTTTCTGAAATTCTTGTTTTTTCAATAAAGTCGTGTAGTTTCATTTGTTGCTTTTTTCTTTCCTTAAGCAAATGTCGGTAGCAGAAGACCGCATCCAAAACGCCTCGTCTTGCTTTTGCACTCCTTTCAAAATCTGGATCATTTGCTATAATTTGATCAATGGTTTCAGTTATTGTTACCAAACTTTTACTAAGAAATCTGTAACAAGTTCTTTGGGTTCTTCATTTTCAGAAACTCTGTTTTCCAGTTCTACATGAATTCCTTGTTCTGCCAGTTCTTGAAGGTTGTTGTTGGTAAGGCTCTCACCAGAAACCTGCTGTAACTCCTCAATATCCTGCTCATCTACATCTAGTTCTGTATCAGTTAGGCTGAGTTTGGTCAACCTAACCATACAGCGATACGCTCTTCTCGTTGAGAATTCTTGGATACCTTCAGCCATAACTTCTTCCACACTTCATTTGTACATTTATCAGTTAATTCTTGCCAAACTAAGCCAATATTGCCTATGGCATCCATGATGATATATTTTTTTCAAAATTTGCACCAAACAAACATAGATTTTAAAAAAGTTCACCTTTTTGCCATCCTTTTCTGACTGGTTTGTGTTCGTAAATAATCATATTATAATAAATAAAATAGAGAAGACTCTGAGGTCGGCGTGACATGTACATTTTCTTATCGTAAGCACTTTCGACGACCTTATAGTCATGTCGAAAGTGCTTGCAATAAGAAAATGTACTGTACATGTAACGCCGTCCTCAGTGTCTTCTCCATTTTATTTTATTATACAGTTATTTTGGCATGATAGTCATACTATTGATCATTCATATTATATATGAATCAATGAAATGCCGCGATAATTTAAATCAGTGTAAATTTTGAGATTTTTTTAGGTTTTGAGCAGATCGCACTATATCAAATTAAGTCAAAATAATAATAATAATAATAATAATCTTTTCTCAACGTGCTATTTGTACAAAATGTTAATGTAATTTTAATGAATAAAATTAATAAACAAATAAAAATCAAAACATAAATCTTAACATATAAACTACTGCAGCTTCTACAAAAAAATAAAATCTGAGATGAAACTTTTATTTGTGAATGGAAATGATATTCTTTAGTTCAATAATAATTAATTTTTCTGATTGGGTTTTGTTCTTTCTTTCTTTCTTTGGATAGTCTGATTTGTACATTAGAGTTTACATTTTGACTCTAAAATCTTTTTAGATCAGCTTTAGTTACAGAAATTCTTGAAATAGAACATCAATCCTTACATTACAGAACCGAACGATGGTTTAAATTTAAATTAACTTATAAATGTAAACATTAAAATATTATTTAAAAGTAACTAGATCTTCAGCACATTTTTCTCTATGTATTAGATGCCAGTTTGACTGTAAAATAAATATGGTAGTTCAATAATACATAAATATGTAAAGCCATATAACTCATTTAGTAATTCCAAGACAACAATGTGAATGATCTGCACTCTCCTGCAAGAAGTTCTTATCTAAATATCATAAAAAAATATCCAGATATATCCAGATCAACAGTATAAAAACTACATCAACTGCCGTATAATATAGGTCTATAAATTGGTGATAATAATTATGAATTATTGATTAATTTGACCCTAGAAGGAGGCATTAGGCACCATCTTGTATTAAATTTAATAATTATAATTTAATTAAATAATTTTTAGATTAAACTGAAAGAAAAGAATTGGCTTGAAGCAGGACTCGAACCTGCAACTCCTGCTTGTGTTGCCAATTATGCTACCTGGACCTCTGGTTTAATCTCCTCTTTCAGTATACAGGTGCTTCCCTACTTATGAATGTTCAATTTTTGAACTTTCAGACTTATGAACAATTTGACTGTACGTTCAAAAATTTTACACACATTCTCTTGCTGGTCTTGGAGTGATGTTAAATTCAGTCCTTAACCAGTAATAAATAATAGAAATAAATCCACATTAATTAATTATCACATATTGTCATTTTTTGTTTTTGTGCGAATTATGATGTTCCATTGCCACTCATGAGGTGGCGTTGAAATTGGTAATGATGGATTAACAGCATTTTTCTCTGTTTGCAATTTTTATAAACTTTTATAAAACATATTAAATATATTTTTTAGTAAGTAGTAAATCTGTAGTAAAAACATATATTTTTACTAGAGATTAATTCTTCAGAAATGCATCCAAAACATAATATAAATGTAGTAGTGGAGATAAATGCAAGAAGTGTTGCTCTATTACTGTGGAAATTACACCTGACCTTACAAAATTAAGCACATTAAGTAAAATAAAAAAATCTGCATTTGAAACACCCCTATTAAGCAGTAGCGAGCAGATAAACAAGCATAATGTGCTCTACTAAATACTTTGAAGGATCAAATGCTAACAATACATGGTTATTCTGTGTACAAATGTACTTTCTAGATCAGTTTTCGACTTACGGTCACATTTCAGTAATCTAACCTGATTGCAAATAGAGGAGTGCCTGTATTTAACTTTACAATATAACCATTGTTGGTTATCACAGTGCCAACAGCAAATGCATTCAGCGCCCCATGATAACCGATGATGGTTAAATATACTGGAAGAGGAGATTGGACCATAGGTCTGGGTAGCATAATTTGCAACTCATCCACACAGCAAGCAGGAGTTGCAGATTCAAGTCCTGCTGCAGGCCAATTCTTTTTTTTTCAGTTTAATCTAAAAATTATTTAATATAATACATGATGATGCTTAATACCTCCCTTTAGGGTTAAATTAATCAGTAATTCATAATTATTATTGCCGATTTATATCTGATATTATACTGCAGTTGATGTAGCTTTATTGTAATTATCAGGTTTCGTAAGTTGTTTATATTAGTATGAAAACTGTTAAGAAATCTTTGATGCTATTGAGTTGCTGCCAGTTTTGACAGAACTGTTATTAGAGATTTTTATAAATCAAATGCCAAACTGACTTCTCGAGGCAGTGTCAAAGCAGATAGACCAGATACATACAAAAACCCAACCTGCATTTCTGTCTTTAATATGATGAATGCTTGATTTTTTGGTGGTAACAAACATTATGTTCATGTTAAACTCTTACTTAAGCTTAATATTAAAAGAAAACTATGTAAAAGAGTCTTCCTTCTGCACTGTGTCTGTTATTTCATACTAGTACACATCTTCAAATTTCTAGAATAGCAATGAATGTGACACATTATGTCTCAGATTAGAAAAACATTAGAAAATATTTTGGCTAGGATCTAGAAGTATGTCTTTTCTTATAAACTTATAGAAAGTTGCAAAGAGAAACAATAAATTATATTTAGGCTATCTTGTTTCATTTAAGATTTATTTAGTGGAATATTAACATCTATCAATATTATAATATGCAAAGCAGTTAGTATTATTTTCCAAAACTTTTGACAAAATGTTAAAAATTTACTTAACTATTAATCTTTAATTTAATAATTAAAAAATTTATGGTGGTTTAATTATAGTTGTTAATTTTTATGTTAAAAGTTTATGAACTAAACATTTTCAAAGCTTTGTCAAATCATTGGAAAAGTGCTTACTTTAGTTGAATTAAAGACTAAACTGTTATTTTTTGAGCTATATTAAAGTTAATTTTAATTAAATATCCAGATTGGCCCTAAATTAGGCAGTTAAGCTAACATCTTGTGTAATGACTAGTGATTAGTAATAATTTTGAATTTAATTATCATATGGTTTGAATATAAGTGAACTCCTAATTTTGGAATCTTTATACTTTTGAAAAAAATTAGGTCACAAATATAAGTTGACCTTTTATTATTCATTTTAACTTCATAAGAAAAATTAGTAATTTGCATTACTAATTTTTCTTATGAAGTTTGCAAGTTTGGAAAATCATTAAAACAATGCTTTCATCTTCATTCCTGTTTCATTGCTGTCATGCTCGTCACCTTGAACAGTACATCCCCTCTTCTGTTGGTTACACAACATTTGTTAAAGCCCTTTATAAACACAAACAACATACATATACCAGCACACAAGAAATTAATATATTTTTACTAATGTTTTCAACCATTTAAACAGACATATTTGGGTATATAACACAGAACAAAATGGCTACATTGGATTTTAATGTAGCCATTTTGTTCTGTGTTATACACCTGTATGCTGGACAGCTATAAATAACAAATTGCTTCTTTTTTGTCAATACCAATAAGTCTAAAACGCACAAAATCATACTAAATAGATAAATTTGTAATTACAATAGAAATTTAAATTTACAGAATAAATTTTGCAGTAAATTTATAGCAACCTTTTCCCAATTTTTGATGATTGCTCAATTATTAGAGACTCCTACAACTAAAGTAATAAGTTACCAAAATACAATTCTGTAGAAATTACCAAAACCTACCGATTATGTTGAATATGATAAAAACAATTGGCTCGGCTTTTGAATGGTGAGTTCAAAAGCTGTGCCAATTGTTTTTATCATATTCAACATAATCGGTAGGTTTTGGTAACTTCTACAGAATTGTATTTTGGTCAACTAATCAATTATTTACAGTCATACCGAATGCTCAAATTGCACACACAGTTTGCAGAGAGCAGCACGACAGGTCACAACTTGGTCAATGTTTAGCAGCACCAAACAATTGACTCACTGAATTTTAGCATCAGTTTAGCTCTGTAAAATGTGTACCATGGGGAGTTATTGAAATTGAAGAAAACTTTAATTAGATTTGAATATAGGTCAAGAGCAATTTTTCTCCTTTTGATACTGGGGAAAAGACATTGACTAATATTCAGGTCAGTAAAGTGTATAATTTAGATAACTCTGGAACAAAATGTTAATACAGTTATGCTTTTCAAGCTTCTTTCAGATATTTACTTTCAGACAAAAGTTTTTAAAAATTATTATTAAATGATTGTTTATTGATTTTCTACAACAATGCAAGGAATTGACATTAAATGTTAAAAACATGTATTAGTTGTGCTTAGATTATTTTTATTCATAATATTATTAAAAAAAATATGAGAATTTGTTTACTGTTATAAAATGTTTCCGTGATTTTTGTTAATAAATTAAAAGGTTTTTAGATTCTGTGACCTTTTTTTATTAGACGGTTATAAATGTTGTATCCTGTAAGTATAGAGATAAATAATTTCATGTTTTATAGATGGAATTCAACCGAGTTTTAGAATCGGTGGGAAAACTTTCAGTTGGAAAAGACTGCGATCAGTTTACAGTTTCTCAAGCAGATAAATCAGCTGCTCAACAGTTGCAAATGGAAAATGCTGTGGATATTAAAGTAAGTTAAAATTATAATATTAAAGTTAAACCTTAATTTATATTATTTACAAATGATTTGTAAATGATATAAATTAAGATGTTTACATGTTTCTATATATAGCAGCTAGACATAGTAAGTGTTTCAGTTCAAATGAAAAGATTACCAGATTTATTTTATTAATAGTCATCTAGAACAATAGTTGCATTTAATTCCCAAAGAATAGAATTAATAGGTATCCTTTAATAGTAGATGCTCTCTGATAAACAGCAGCTTGCAACTTCACTACAGAGAGTGTTGCATTTTAATAAGATTTTATGTATTGATTACTTTATTAATAAGAAAAATGATTATAATTTAACTATATAAAGAACTATAAATATTTTTATATAAAGAATTGAATTACTCATTTTTCTGATGGGTAAATGCACTTTGATTCCTTCAGTGTGATGAGCATGTGGCCTTACACATCCAAGAGTATCACAGAATTAGACTTGAAGCATTAGTGAAGTCTTTTCTATGTGGCTTATAGAATTGAGTTAATTCTCAAAATTTGATCAGTCAGTTTTGATAAAATTTTGCATTTTCGTTAATTGCAACAAGGAATCTAAAAATGTAATAAAAAATGGGGTCCATGACTTTGTTTTTAAGATATAGAGAGGTCAAAGTGATGATGTCCAAGGTCGCTAGCAAGGGTGTATGCAATTTTATTTTATTTTGTATGCCAGTGGTGACGCCACCCTGCCATAGTAGAGGCATGTGATTGTCATAGATGAACCCCAAAACAATATTATTGGCTTGCTAGTGCTTTGACTCAATTCTTAGTTTGTGTGCAGACAGAAAATGAATTGTGCCTAGTATAATATCAAATGGAAATTTTATATATATATATATAAAACAAAATTGTAAAATTAAAAATGAATTTAATTTTAGTTATTTTATTGTTAAGGTAGAAAACTTTTCTATTTCTGCTCGAGGGAAAGATTTGTTTGTGAATGCCACCCTTAATATTTCGGCCGGTAGGAGGTATGGATTGGTCGGACCAAATGGGTACGTAAGTTCAGCTNAAATATATATATATTTCATAATAATTCAACTTTAAGTTTCATTTAATATATATATATATATATATTTTAATGCTTTTTGATTTTATGTGCAGTTTTAGTTAGTTTTTCAAATTTTTTAATAAGAATATATCAAATTTGAAATTATTCAAAAAAATTAAGTAAAACAAATCAAAATTTCTAAATTATAAGCTCATATAATTGAATTAGATTCATATTTTCAATGCATATTTATTTGAAATTATTTTTTTGTAAAATATCAAATATTTGAGTGTTAAAAAAATATAAAGAATTTATAAGGAAATAAACTAAAAATTTTGTACTAATTAAATTTTGAGTTTGTGACAAATTTTAATATATCTATTTTAGTGTAGTTTTTATTTTCTATTAAAATTGAATTTAGAAACAACTATTACAAGATATTACATTTATTTTTAAATAATAATAATAAATAATAAGGAAATTATGAAAAAATAAATTTCACTATAAAAAGAATTATTTTAATAAAAAGTACAGCCTAGAATATTTACAGATTACTAGAACAGTACATAGTATATAAATTATAGTATATTAACATTCTTTACTTAATTAATATTAATATTTAATTTGTTCAAATTGCTGTAACATTTGCTAAAGTAAACAATTTTCTAAATACAGTGGAACTGGGTATACGACCTTAATCAGTTCCTGATGTTTAGACTTATACTGAATAGGATGTATACCAAACCAATCTTTCCCATAAGAAGTAATGTAAAAATGATTAATCTGTTTTCACGTAAAAAAAAACACTTCTTGATATAGTATATTAATGGGGTTGTAAGATAATTTAACTTCTTTCTCAACGTTAGCAGATTTAATAATGTCTTTATTTTTCACGATTGTCAATATCATTGTTCTCGGAATACAGTATGCAACAGTTAAATCTCAAACACGCATGCCACTGTCATATTTCTCAACAATCTCTTTTTTTCAGTTCCATTGTGATTCTAGTCATTTTTTTTAGTTTTATGTTGCTTTTCATTTGCCTTTTTGCAATTCATGATTAATAAAAATAATAAACTTACAAATTAAAATCAGAAGAAATTTAATAAAGTTATAAACCGTGGCACTGTGAACGTCTAGTCTGGTCTAATACACCGATAGTGCTTGAGGATAGTGCTGATAATCAAAATCAGCTAGGTCGTTCAATTTGATCACATCTGTGAACAAGATTGGCCTGTTGTCAAATTTTCATTTTTCGTGCAGAGAGAAAAATTCTAAATGACGATATCACAAGTTTATTTACAGATAGTTACAACCTTATATACAGAAAGCTTATAACATTGTGGAGACAGTGGTCGGAGCACACGAGATCCTGCCCTGAATATGTCAACCGAAAAAGTGGTTAACCTCAACCTCTGACGTCATGCCAGAGGTTGAAGTTAACCACTTTTCCGGTCGGTAGTCAGGTGTTGCCAATCGCCGCATGCTACTTGCTCATAGATGGCACATAGAATTGAATTAAGTCGTATACTGAGAAAAATATGCTTTGTCCAAACAGGACGTATTCTGAATCGGACGTGTTCTAAAGCAGATGTATACCAAGGTACCACTGTATTTATTTTATCAGAAATATAACATTTAAATACAGCCAGCTAAACAATTAAAACTTTTTTAATGTTATGAATAAATAAACATATACATTTTTTTAAAACTTAAATAGAAGATGGATACTACAAGACTAGACAAAGAAATAGTTATTAGGCTTGAATACAATCTATTTGATATCATTGTTTTCAATGCAGTGCTCATTTACTAAAAGTAATTACTGCCAGTACTGATATATTGTAACTAAACATAATGTTCTGTTTTAGGAAAAATGAAACAATAATTAATGTTACATTTTAAAGTAACATTAAACAATGTTACTTTAAAATGTAACATTAATTATTGTTTCATTAAACAATGTTTAATGCTACTAATTATTTATCTTTACTTATAAATGTACACACTTAGAGTTTTCAAAATTTTTTTGTACTTCTCCAGCTACACTTTCTTCCTTATTTCCTGTTTTGAATTTACCGTTAGTTGCTAAATCTCTCTTTTAGTAACTGTATGTTTATCTTTCCCTTTTGAAATAGTATTATTAATGTTTTTCTGTACCTTGATTTCTAACAAGAATTTAGTGGGGACAGACCAGATAGTATTGACCATTTGTTGAAAGATGGCTTTGACAAAAGGGGTTCTCCCGCTTTCTTACTTTTTAAATCAGCTCTAATTGATCTGTGGTGTTTATGTGGCCAATAGAGTTTGTTTCTTTCATTTGTTTCTATTGTGTCAGTTACTAGACTATTTGAAATTTTATGGAATTATTTTACTGTGCCAACTGTTGGTACTATGTACAGTGGGTGATCAGTTAATGAACATAATCCATTCCAAGACTTTGTTCGCTATCCGAATTGTTCATTAACCGATTATTGGTTTACCATAGGTTTTAATGGGAATTTAATTAATTCGTTCTGGAGACCCCCAAAAATAAAAATATATATACTTTCTTACTATGTTTATGTAATAGTAAAAATACATACATACACAGTTTTGTGTTTTTATTAGTCATGTTTTTTCCGTTTGAAAGGGTTAAAGATTGCTTTTCTCTCTTCTTCAGGATTTTTCGTAAGTAACTAATAGCATTGCAATTGTAGAAATCCCCAAGCCTCAACCTAGTTTGGATGCCATTCTAAGACCGTTGTTCTGACTTCCTGCTTCTTCAAAGGATCTTTAATAACAGATATCAGCATTAATCCTCTTTTTCAGAAGAAAACATATCTTGCCAAGTTTCTTGGTGTTCTTCATTCAAGAGTGTCCTTCTGTCGTCAGATTCATTTCAGGTTCCATTATGAACTCTTTGATGTTCTTTATTTCTCAAATGTGATTTTTGTTACTCCTTTAGCTGCTTGAGTCTTCCTGATTATGTAGTATTTTTCTTAAATAAGATTGAACTGCAGCCTATTGTAGACCTGTTCACACTATACTGCCCAGCAACATTAGACATCTTCTGCCCACTACCTCTTTATCTTTGCTATTATACTCTCACCTTTTGAAAATAAAAACCGACGCAAAACTTAACGAGTTCTCTACCCCACCTGACAGTCTTGCCAATACATAAAAGAATTGTTTTATCAGAAAAATAAAAGGCTGGAATTACAAGGGAGAGTTTCAAAGTTCAGAGGAATACTATCCAATCGGTATGTACTGGGTTGAGAGTCAATGTCGACGTCTCCCACATTCCAAAAAGTTTTGAATTGTTGCCCGAAGACAAGGGAAGACCAATCGTATTCATTATTTTATGTCGCTTCTTCTTGTATTTGTTCTGTGGGGTGTTCGTTATCTGATCATGTGTTCGTTATCTGAACATAAAAATCTTTTGCGAAAGTGTTTGTTATCCAATTTGTTCGTTAACCGATCACCCACTGTATTGGCTATCAATACTACTAATATTGTCTGCTGGTATGGCCGTCAATGTGTTCCGGCTGAAAAACAACCCTGTGTTGGTTTATTATTGAATAAGATTTTTCTAATCACATGATCATGTATTGCTCGCAGCTTCTGAAAGTACTGTAATTTATAGATTATTACTGCATTTGTGTGGTTGAGAATTTAATTTTGCATTTATTTAGTTCGTCTAATACTAATAATATCTTAAGGATGGTAAATTTAATTATATATTTAAAATTGTTTATTTAGTACTTAATGTAACTTTACCTTCTTCAAGTGCATTAGAACATACGGTATATATTTCATTATTATTTGTTAAAATATTGAGTTTTGCTCTCATATTTAAATTTAATATTTATTTTTAGTCATGGAAAGACAACATTATTGAAACATATTGCAAATCGTTCTTTAAACATTCCTCCAACTATTGACGTTCTTCTTTGTGAGCAAGGTAAGTGAAATGTTTTTTTGGAAATATTTAAGAAATAACAATTGCTGATAAGAAATACATTTTACAGAGGTGGTTGCTGATGATACACCTGCCGTCGAAGTCGTGTTGAAAGCCGATACAAAAAGAGAAAAATTACTGGAAGAAATGAACAAATTGGAAAGTGAAGTGAATAAAGGAAATATCAAAAATCAGAGTCGTCTCAATGATGTATTTATTTATTTTTATAATCACGACAAAAATAGTTTAGATATAAAATTTTTATTTCGGTGATGATTATTTCAGATTTATGAAGAATTAAGAATAATAGGAGCTGATTCAGCAGAAGCCAGAGCAAGACGTATTTTAGCTGGTTTGGGTTTCTCTAGGGAAATGCAAGACCGTCCAACTAAACATTTTTCTGGAGGATGGAGAATGAGAGTATCACTTGCAAGGTATTGTTCCAATATTGAATATTAGATATTCTAATTTAATGCTATATAAATTTTAGTAGATTAAATAATTTTAAAATAATTAGATGAATATTTTTTATATAGAACTCCTATAATGTTCTGTTAAGTTATTTTTTCACTTATGATATAAGTAATTCTATCCACCAATGGCCGAGTGGAGAAAAACACTGAACACTAGTAGTTGGTCATGGGTTCTTGCCTCACCAATAGACTGATTATGTGGAGTATTCTGGATTTTCCTCACATTTGTAACACCTAAACAAGTGCCAGTTTTAATTAGAAAGCTGTCCCATGAGGTGGCAGATTGCCCACACATCATGTTGTATACAAACAAACATAAAAGTTATAAGTTAAAAGGTTATATTTTAAAAAACTTAAAAAATTTCTCAAAAAAACCAACCATGAAAAAATATCCTTCTCAGTCTTTACTGATTTTTGAGGATACTTAATTAAAAACTATGGACTATAACTTTATTTTAACAATGAACAAGCTTTATTTAATATTACCTCCAAATGCATTTTGCCCTGGCTATAACAGGGCCTCTTCAGTGAATACAGCATCACAAGCAATATCTGTATTACAAACATAATGACTTTGATAACAAACTATCTCATGTGAAGATGTATTTACCTCCCTAACTATATTATTCCAGCATGCATCTAAATTCATGCCAATATTTAAATTAATAACATTGTTCTGCATAACCATTGCTTAGTGTTCTTTAATTCTTTTTATGATATTCTTTTCCATATAAAGAATTTTTACATTATTTATATCGATATTACAGTTATTTTCCTGACAATGATGAAACCATGGTGAAATAATATTTTTTAATTGTATTACCATCATGTGCTCTTATAATTGCTTTCCCAACTGACGCTTAATTTCTCCAACATAATATCTTGCTTGGTCACATGTAATGTACATACCAAAACTGGTATGTACTGTATATGTGATCAAAATATCCTTCTCATGGTGTACCATGAGAAATATATTTTGGTATTTGGATATTTTCTCATGTTGCTTATTTGAGAAGTTTTTTAACTTTTACTTTTTTTTAAAATTAACTTTTTAACTTATAAAATACACTGATTCTACTGTTTAGATTATTTTTAAATATTTTTATTACATAAAAGTTATTGTAAAGACTAAAATATAAGGTTGTTAAGAGAATATGAATTTAAATAATGTTTTGATTGTTAGTAAAATCAAAAATGATGTTATAAAGTGTAATCTTATAATTTTTATTGTATGAAATTAATATGTATGTAATATGTATGAATGGATGTAAGTATCACCCTGTAACAAGGTTTGTCTTAGTATAATAAAGGTGATGATATGTATGTTTTAGTAACAATCTATATATCTTGCATAAATTGTATTTTATTTACATTTATAAAAACATGGTAATGCCATATAAGGCAATGAATGTCTGTCTCCAGTATTGAAAACAATAGTGACACCTCCATGTTTTTATTTTTCAGTCAAATTCTAATATTATTATATAATATATAATAGAATATTATATATTATTATAATATAATTATATATAGTATTCTAAATATATATAATCACAAAAAACAATCATAATGTGAAATTTTATATCTGATTTACTCCATATAATTTATTTAATATTAGGAAACATTGCAGTTTAAAAGTCAGTTATGGGCAAAGATTGTTTTCTTTGCCATATTTCCTTAGAGTCTGCATAGGGCGAAGGCAGAAGACATCAAAGGAAGCACAAAATACTCTTTTCAGCATTATAAACTACAATTATACTGGAGTTTTAGTAAAAGCTAAGCATGATGGCTGCAACATACAAGTCAAATAAGGACTATTTTCCATTTAAAATATAATTATTGACAGTTATTTTTATTGTAATAACTGATATAACTGGGATTCTTTATAAAATGTTTAATCATGTGTGAAATATTGGTTTATAATTGCTGTTGAGTTACAGTACAATGCAATACAACACAGTATAAAGATAGAAAAATAATAATTAAATTTAATTGTTAACTGTGTTTTTATACTGAGAGTTATTTAAAATTATAAATGATATATTTTAATTTTTAATGTAATTTTTATAATTATTTATTTATAATTAACCAAAGTAAAGTTAAATTATTTTTAATTGTTTTAAGGGCCTTATTCATGGAACCTACTCTACTAATGTTGGATGAACCTACTAATCATTTGGATCTTAATGCTGTGATTTGGTTAGATAAGTAAGTTACTGTTTTTATTTTATTGATGTATATTTGTTTTCATTTTAAATTTTACATAAGTTGAAAATGTGTAATACAGGTAACCCCCGTATAACATGGGAGTTACATTCCAAAAAATTGCCATGTTATGCAAATCTGTGTTATACGAAACAAAGAACTAGTGCAAAAAGGGGTGTTAGGTTCCAAAAATTAAAAAACATTTTGTTAAATCCTTATTTAAATTGGATTTATTATTCATTTCTTTCATAGGTAAGATACTTATTTATTATTTAAGTAAATATTTACCAGAGGATTATTCATCCTATATGATGATCTCAGCATGAGCCTCATGAACTGGTAACAGTTTTCAGGTGCATTCGTTAATAGCGGTTGTTCTGCAACGGGAGTGCGCTGCTGTTTGTAGGCATTTAGGAACAATGGTAAAAAAAAAGATGGCGGCGCCCGCACTATTGATAGTATCGTGATGGAGGAATCTATAATTCTAAAATGAGCTTTTAGAGGAAAAAGAAGGGTCCCAATTGTAAAATTTAACCATTAAATGGATTATTGTTGAAAGAGCATTCAAAGTAACCACAAAAACAATTAGAATGCTCATGTGGAGTTACGCGAAAGTATAAAAGAATGCACCCTTTATTACATTTCATATTTTACGAGGGTTTTACTCAATTCCCGAACCGTGTTAGAGTGAACCCTTGCTGTAAAAGCACTGTGTTATACGGGGGATGTTCCCAATTCTTGAACCATGTTAGAGTGAATCTGTGCTATAGAAGTGCCGTGTTATATGGGGGTTACCTGTATTTATGAAAGTAGTAGTTTTGCAAAAATGCAGAAACTATTTAGAAAATAACTTTATTTAATATAGAACTAGAAAATAATTTTGACAAACATTGAAAAATAACAATCTATTATAACCCAGCTCCTATTTTCAACTAAATACAAACAACTCTTTAACACTTGGTGTAGAGTGTTAAGGTGATCAGAATTCTATTTAATAGAGATTTGTACAGTGGTATCTCAGGATACAAACGCCCCAGCATATGAAATTTTCAGGATATGACATGAAATTCGAACACATTTTTGCTCCACGATACGAACGAAAACTCACCATACGATGTTACATTAGTTCGCAGCACCATTTTTTATTCATTTCTGTTCATTGGTCTCAGTCCGCGTGTTTGCTTCGTCGTGAAAGGATCTTGCTCGATAAAGGAAATCTTGAGGTATTACCAGAAAGTGACTGATTTTATTGAAAAGAAACATCCCAAAAAGGTTCACACTAGCTGTATTGCTGCTCAGAGTAATGACATTTGCCTAAGTCATTTTAGAAACATTTTAAAAAGTAGGCAAAGCCAAACCTCTTGGATAGATATTTTACCAAGCAACCTCTATCCAGTGAAAGTGCTGGTGGAAGTGAAGGAAGGAAAGAAAAAAGCAGTGAATAAAAATTTTAAAAAATATATATATAAAACAACACTAATTTTTTAATCTTTTCTAAGTTATTTTTAAGTTATTGCTACATTATGTTATGTAAGTTAAGTTTTAGTATCATTTCCCTTCTCCCTCTCTTCCACCACCAGTTTACACCTCCACCATAGTCTATCCTGAAAGGTAAAGTGCAAATAAAACTATTTTTTTTATCAATTATTATTCTATTATGGTTATTTATACATTTACAACTACAAAATGCATTTTCCAGTGTTTTCCTTACTTTAGTTATTATTATTATTTTTTTTTAATGTACTACTTAGCTTTAATTTGAGTGTGTTTTTTGTGTTGGAACAAATTATTTGGTTTTACATGTAATCGTATGGGGAAAAATGATTCACCTTATGACATTTTCATGATACAATCCCAGTTTTGGAACGGATTAATTTTGTATCCTGAGGTACCACTGTATTAGGTTTAAGTTATTAACCTTATTACCTAGAATTAGAAATTGAGTGGACAAATCTTTCAAAGAACAAGCGTAACAATTTTAAATCGTATTTACAGATATTGAAAAATTTTTGTATGAATGTAAATAAAATTTTATACAATAATTTTAAATTTAAAATTACTTTATTTAGTTTTATATGTATCATTATTTTTGTAATGTATTTATATATGTTTATAATATAAAAATATAAATTTAAAAGGTGCATTTCACTAACTCCAACAATTTTAATTACAGTTATCTTCAAGGTTGGAAGAAGACATTGCTTGTTGTATCCCACGATCAAAGTTTTTTAGATAATGTTTGTACAGACATTGTTCATCTAGATAATCAAAAATTATTTTATTATAAAGGCAACTTCAGTAAGTAATTTTGCTTTAAAAAAGATCTTGACACTATCAATAAAGTTCTGAAAAAATAAAATATTTAGAAGTATTCTACTGCATTTATTATAATAATATTTAATTTTAGTAATATGTGAATTTAGATATGTTTGGATGATTACATTACCATTTTTCCTATAATATGTATATAATGTTCATACAATTTAGTTAAATAATACAAATTAATTAAAAGTTATGTGCATTGCAAAGATCTTAATTTTACTTATAATTCTATATTTTTATCAGATAATGTAATATCTTGTTAAAGAAAACAGTAAGCAGAATAAGTAGTAATAATAAAAGAAAATTTTTTTTTCAATTTATTAATCATTATTTAAAGTTAAATTATTTTTGAGTTTATTAAATTTCTTTTAATTTAATATAATAAACCAGTATCAGTTTTTTGTTCTCAGGTTTATGTATTTATTTGTGTAATGACTAAACATTAAAGTATACAGAATAATGTATAATTTATTTTATCAATTTCTTTTTAAATACACAATGTAAGACAAATTTATTGCACAGTAAAATAAATTATATATTACCATCTTCCATGGGTACTGAAGATGGTAATATATAACTTCTTTACTTTTGTGTTAGGCTCTTCCAAATCGGCATCGGATTTGATGCATATATTTTCCTACAAGTAATCATTCTCGGTGTCATTTAAAGCATTGGAAATGCAACATTTTTTGAAAGATTGTTGCATGACTTTTTCTGGGATTTTCATTCAAGTACCTATGACATTACTGTAATTGAATAATGAAATCTGGCCAGGTTGTCATAAATATTTACTATTATAAATATTGGTCAAATAAAATCATTAAATCACACAATGGAATTAGTGACTAGAGAAAAAGATGCATGGTGCTAGAGGTCTGTAGTTATGATGGATTATGTTGAATCCAAGACACACCCCTTTCTCTCTCATAATATATATTTTTACTCTAAAATTTAAAGTAAAGAGTTTAAGATAAATTGTAATATTTGTTTATTCTTCAAAACTGGCAATTGTTCTAGTGAACATTTATTTTGATGCTGTAGACCTGTTTTCAGTAGATCATCTTTCAAAAAAAATGCACTACTGAATTAGATTTTAGATTTAGAATGTTTATCATTAGCATTTCTCAAAGTATTACTTAATTTTTAAAAAATTTCTTGTTATTTAAGGATTAGGTTTATTGTAATCTTTAAATGAAAGGAACTGCTTCTTTTAAAATCAAAATACAGTGGAATCTCACTTAACGAGCATAATTTGTTCCAGAATTTTACTCGAAATGCAAAATACTCATTAAGTGAAACAATTTTTCCCATATAAATTAATGTAAAATATGATAATTTAATAATTATAAATAATGCGTTCCATGCTGAAAAAATCCTCAAATATTTTATGTATAATGTTTATTCAAAGACAGTTTTACAATATACATTGTTAAGGAGTGTGAATCATCATCATCATCGTTTCTTGTAGCGCGGAATTAACTAACCTGAAATGCGAATTTGATTTGCAGAAAACAAAAAAAAAATTGTAGATAATATGTCTGATAAATATCCCAAACAATATGCCAAATTTTTGGGCTATGTGAAGGCTATAATTAATATTAGCAATTAACTTAATTAATTTGACTAGACATAGGCAGTGATGCTGCTATTTCATATTAGATTTAATAATTATAAATAATTAATTTTTAATTTAGACATTTCTGGAGTTGGTCTTTAAATTTAATANAAACCAGTATCAGTTTTTTGTTCTCAGGTTTATGTATTTATTTGTGTAATGACTAAACATTAAAGTATACAGAATAATGTATAATTTATTTTATCAATTTCTTTTTAAATACACAATGTAAGACAAATTTATTGCACAGTAAAATAAATTATATATTACCATCTTCCATGGGTACTGAAGATGGTAATATATAACTTCTTTACTTTTGTGTTAGGCTCTTCCAAATCGGCATCGGATTTGATGCATATATTTTCCTACAAGTAATCATTCTCGGTGTCATTTAAAGCATTGGAAATGCAACATTTTTTGAAAGATTGTTGCATGACTTTTTCTGGGATTTTCATTCAAGTACCTATGACATTACTGTAATTGAATAATGAAATCTGGCCAGGTTGTCATAAATATTTACTATTATAAATATTGGTCAAATAAAATCATTAAATCACACAATGGAATTAGTGACTAGAGAAAAAGATGCATGGTGCTAGAGGTCTGTAGTTATGATGGATTATGTTGAATCCAAGACACACCCCTTTCTCTCTCATAATATATATTTTTACTCTAAAATTTAAAGTAAAGAGTTTAAGATAAATTGTAATATTTGTTTATTCTTCAAAACTGGCAATTGTTCTAGTGAACATTTATTTTGATGCTGTAGACCTGTTTTCAGTAGATCATCTTTCAAAAAAAATGCACTACTGAATTAGATTTTAGATTTAGAATGTTTATCATTAGCATTTCTCAAAGTATTACTTAATTTTTAAAAAATTTCTTGTTATTTAAGGATTAGGTTTATTGTAATCTTTAAATGAAAGGAACTGCTTCTTTTAAAATCAAAATACAGTGGAATCTCACTTAACGAGCATAATTTGTTCCAGAATTTTACTCGAAATGCAAAATACTCATTAAGTGAAACAATTTTTCCCATATAAATTAATGTAAAATATGATAATTTAATAATTATAAATAATGCGTTCCATGCTGAAAAAATCCTCAAATATTTTATGTATAATGTTTATTCAAAGACAGTTTTACAATATACATTGTTAAGGAGTGTGAATCATCATCATCATCGTTTCTTGTAGCGCGGAATTAACTAACCTGAAATGCGAATTTGATTTGCAGAAAACAAAAAAAAAATTGTAGATAATATGTCTGATAAATATCCCAAACAATATGCCAAATTTTTGGGCTATGTGAAGGCTATAATTAATATTAGCAATTAACTTAATTAATTTGACTAGACATAGGCAGTGATGCTGCTATTTCATATTAGATTTAATAATTATAAATAATTAATTTTTAATTTAGACATTTCTGGAGTTGGTCTTTAAATTTAATATGAGATGATAGCATAACTTCCTACCTCTAGTCAAATGAAACAATTTCTAATATTTAATTATAGCCTTCACACAACCCAAGAATTTGGCATATTGTTTGGTATGTTTATTATATAACGGGCTGTGGTTGTTGATGTTTATATGTGATCATAAGTGACACTAAGATGCTAGCAGAACGAGTGCTAACACAGACTGATGGAGCATGTGCACAATCTGCGACAGCCCTTCTCTTCATTCATTATGCAAAACGTTGCTTGTTAAGCAAGTCAATTTTTACAAATTTGTTTTGCTCATTATGTGAAATCCTCCTTAAGCGAGGGTCCACTGTATATTTTTCATTTCTTTTTAGAAATGAAAAATATATTTTTCTTTGAGAAATGCTGATGATGATTTTTTTATAGTATTCATGATGATTTGATTGTTTGAAGTTAAAATTAATTTATAAAAAAAATTATTCATTGCTCATTAGAGAATAAAATTTTAAATTATATTTTCAATTCAACGAAGATGCCAGAAAAAACTTTAAAAAATTTTATCATTTACAGTAGAGCCTTGATTATCCGACTCAATTGGGGACTGAGGTTGGTCGGATAATTGAAAAGTCGGATAACCGAAAAGTATGAAAAAATCCATTATTAGTGTCGTATATTATTATATCCCATGTAATTAGTATANGGCTGCTGTAAGTGATTAAAAATTTTATATATATAAATATTTTATTAACTAAATATTCTGACAACTTATTAGAAACAAACTTGGAATTTATTTGAAAATTTTTGTTATATACACTTAACACATAATATGGAAATATTATGAAACCATAATTTCATTATTTTATTCTGAACATGCCATTTTCCTTCTAACGTTCAGTTAGATCAGGAGTTCCCAACTTTTTTCATTTATTGACCCTGTGTAAGAAAAAGTTTTTTCCATTCAATATTATATATACTGTATATGCACCCCATCCTATATTATTTTTAAAAGTCATCTTTCTACGTTTGTTTGAGAGCAAAAAAAAATATGTAAAACTTATAATATTTTTAATAAATTTTTGTATATTTGCAAAGTTTTACTGTAAAGACCCTCTCTCAAATNTTAGTATAACATGATATACTGAAATAATTTTATTACACATACTTTAAATATTGAAATCCAAATAGTTCATTCTTCTGGTACAAAAGTATATTGTTGAAAATTAGCTTACAAATTTTTGTAGTAATACAGTATAATATGATTAGATTTAATAATAATTTTTTTCCTCCATATAAAAAGCCAGATTAATTTTAATTAATTGAAATCTAAGATTTTTCTTACATTTTATCTTTAATCAAATTATTTGCATAATTAGGTCAGTTTAAAAAAATGTATATCCAGAAAAAGAAAGAATTAATCAAAGAATATGAAAAGCAAGAAAAGAGGCTTAAAGATATGAAAGCATCTGGAAAATCAACAAAGGCTGCTGTAAGTGATTAAAAATTTTATATATATAAATATTTTATTAACTAAATATTCTGACAACTTATTAGAAACAAACTTGGAATTTATTGGAAAATTTTTGTTATATACACTTAACACATAATATGGAAATATTATGAAACCATAATTTCATTATTTTATTCTGAACATGCCATTTTCCTTCTAACGTTCAGTTAGATCAGGAGTTCCCAACTTTTTTCATTTATTGACCCTGTGTAAGAAAAAGTTTTTTCCATTCAATATTATATATACTGTATATGCACCCCATCCTATATTATTTTTAAAAGTCATCTTCCTACGTTTGTTTGAGAGCAAAAAAAAATATGTAAAACTTATAATATTTTTAATAAATTTTTGTATATTTGCAAAGTTTTACTGTAAAAGACCCTCTCTCAAATTTTTATTGATTCCATTGGTAAGCCTTGATTTAAATGAAAAAGTATATCATGTTCAAAGGAATAGTTGTAAAAGTTACAGAAATTGGAAGCTTAGATATTGTAAATGTATTACAAATTGACTTTTAAAATACAGGATGACTTTAATCATAAATGCACTATATCTGTATTATTATTAATTTTTTTTGTTTTTGTTAAAATTATATCAACCTTAAAAGGGAAGAACTTATTACAGCTAATAATCACTAATCTGGCATCATTGGAACCTGTGGGGTGACAGGTAAATAATTTTGCTGGATTACTGATGGTTAGGTTAGAGTACACTTAACCCAATAGCTAACCACTTTATTTTGCCTTTAAAATATAATGTAAATCGATATATTATGTTGGTTAATAAGGGTAAAATTCTACTTTATTTGTTATAGGCAATGTATGGTGTTTGCATGTCAAATCAACACTTTAATACAGGAATAAACACTTCCTGTATTAATTGGAGCAATGATTATTTTATTTGTTATTGTGTGCTTAGAGAAAGTTTTCAATCATTTGAAGAAATTCCAACTGTAAATGAGGCTTATTAACAAATACAGAAATTTCATTTGAAATTAATTCATGTTACCAGTACAAACTGAAATCAGAATTAAGGTCTAAATGTTAACCCTTTACCCTCGCCATGTTGTTTACATTAATTTTGTAAACTGTCCGAAGGCAATATAGGTCAGTCAGGTGATATTATTTTAAAAATTCACCAAAAATCAAATTATCATTATATTCATATGAAAAGTATTACATACATTTATTAATATCTTTAGTTTTAAATATGATATTTTTCAATGCATTTTATTAGAAAAATTTATAAGAAAAAAAATAATATATATCAGAATTGACCTTTAAACTTGATAATTTGTAACTTTTTGTCAAAATTAACATTGTTTGGTTACCTAGTTTTTTGCTGGCAATGAGCCAGAAAGATGTAAAATATTGTTCTATACAACTCTATATAACATTTATGCATGTACATTTATTCGTTGTGAAATTATTGCACATTATATCAAACATTTGTTTGAAATCAAAACTTTATTATGCTATCAACTAATATAATAAACTAATATACTTTATTCACTTCATATCGAACAATAATATAAATTTCTCTAATAAACATATGATTACCAGTAGTAATACATGTAACATTTGCTGATATTTTAGATTAAAATAAAAAATATATAAAATGTCAGAATTGAAGGTCACAACTTGAATATTTATAACATGTTGACTTATTACAGCTAAATAAATTTATTATAGCATAAATGAACTTATTATAGTAGTAATATTATTCCATGAATATGCTAAAAATGAAATAAAAAATTATCAGAAAAAAATAAATTAAAGAAAAAAAGCATTAATTAAAATTTTTTAAGTCAGCAAAACACCATCTGGAGAAAAATATGTGAAACAGACAATAGACAAGACACTGCCATCAAGTGCTGACATCTGTTGTTGATAAATTTTACAAAAATCAATTTTACTAGGGCAACGATGATTCGGTACCCTCGAAGTTTTACTTAACTATGGGGGTATCGACTGATCGGTACTTTCAAGGGCAAAGGGTTAATTACTGTTTCATATTTTCCTGCAATTTATACATATACACATATAATTTCCATAAAGTAGTCTAAAATAATAATTTTCTTTAATCTGCATAATAGCATTAATTTATTATTATTCTTATCATTTATTCTAGTTTAAAGGTGTTAAATTTATTTTATATTGACCCAGGATATCTTTAATTTGAAGGTTAAGACTATTTACAAAAATTAAAACATTTTTGAGTCTTATCCTTTTACACAACCATAGAAGTAACAGTTAAATGGCTTGAAGAAAAATAAGAAAAGACTTTAAAACATTTTAATTTTTGTAAATAGTCTTAACCTTCAAATTGTTAAATTTAATTGCAGAATTAGAGTGATTTGTCTGTATGCTGTTCATATTGAAGTAAATGTACCATATATTAAATATTTAGTAAAGTGCTGCTATTTTATAAATAAATTAATCCAATATTCAAGTGTTTGAGTTTATGTAAATATTTAAAATTGATTAAACTTTANACATGTAACATTTGCTGATATTTTAGATTAAAATAAAAAATATATAAAATGTCAGAATTGAAGGTCACAACTTGAATATTTATAACATGTTGACTTATTACAGCTAAATAAATTTATTATAGCATAAATGAACTTATTATAGTAGTAATATTATTCCATGAATATGCTAAAAATGAAATAAAAAATTATCAGAAAAAAATAAATTAAAGAAAAAAAGCATTAATTAAAATTTTTTAAGTCAGCAAAACACCATCTGGAGAAAAATATGTGAAACAGACAATAGACAAGACACTGCCATCAAGTGCTGACATCTGTTGTTGATAAATTTTACAAAAATCAATTTTACTAGGGCAACGATGATTCGGTACCCTCGAAGTTTTACTTAACTATGGGGGTATCGACTGATCGGTACTTTCAAGGGCAAAGGGTTAATTACTGTTTCATATTTTCCTGCAATTTATACATATACACATATAATTTCCATAAAGTAGTCTAAAATAATAATTTTCTTTAATCTGCATAATAGCATTAATTTATTATTATTCTTATCATTTATTCTAGTTTAAAGGTGTTAAATTTATTTTATATTGACCCAGGATATCTTTAATTTGAAGGTTAAGACTATTTACAAAAATTAAAACATTTTTGAGTCTTATCCTTTTACACAACCATAGAAGTAACAGTTAAATGGCTTGAAGAAAAATAAGAAAAGACTTTAAAACATTTTAATTTTTGTAAATAGTCTTAACCTTCAAATTGTTAAATTTAATTGCAGAATTAGAGTGATTTGTCTGTATGCTGTTCATATTGAAGTAAATGTACCATATATTAAATATTTAGTAAAGTGCTGCTATTTTATAAATAAATTAATCCAATATTCAAGTGTTTGAGTTTATGTAAATATTTAAAATTGATTAAACTTTAGATTTAGAATAGAATTTTGTGAAAGCAATCTGTTTATTATGACCACATTAATGCTATGATAATGTGGAAATCAAAAATAATGAATTCTACTATTTCTTATAAAGTAAATTTTAGATGCATTTTTAATTTATAAACTCGTTTAAATTTATAAAATAACACTATTCCTTAAATTGTAATCAGGAAGAGAATTGTAATCAAACAAAATTTTGATCTCTTCTTATAGGATATTTGCTAATTTAATTTGTAATATAACTAGCAGATGAGCCTGATGTTGCTTGGGCAAAAAAATAAAAACAGCAGAGATTAAGATTATTAGATTATTTCATACTTCTAATCCTTCTGTTATATTATAGTATTTTATTTATATTTACAAAGGTTATCGTACGTAAGAGTTTATCATACCAAGTAAACAATCTAACACATTTTAAAAATTCTTTATTCCTCTACTATACACAATTTAGAGAATTTTTAAAATATGTTAGATTGGTCACTCGGTGTGATAAACCCTTACATAAGGTAACCTTTGTAGTTATATAAATCAAATACTATAATATAATGAACATTAAAATGAAAACCCTATAGAGAGTTTGGTTCTTTCAGCCTACCATTGTCACATTTATCATGATTCTCGGTTGATATGAAATGACACAAATTCAATGGTCAAGTAGACAGGAATTGAAAATATATCTTAAATTTTTCAGGTATAATATTTTCTAATTTTAGCTCTAAGAAACTGTACCATTCACAGCCGAATATCAAATGGTAATCTGCCAATGAATCAAATCTCAGAAAAATGGACCAAATATTTAAACTCAGCACCCAAAAAAATCACTTAAATTGTATTTTGTGCTCACTGTTAATCTTGTATTATGTAATTTTCCTATTCAAATGCTGCTATACTGTTGGCCTGATAGAAATTTGGGACTGTTGCAGAAGGGGTTGAAGTAATTTGACCAAAAGTAATTGTTGACCTCCTCCCAGAAGAGAGGATGCTCAATGATCACTAATTAATACCAGTCTACTACTAATATTTGAAAAGTGATCCATGTTAGATTGTGATGGTTGTTCATTTGATTGAAGTTGCTAACCTTAATGTCCAAAAGACTTGATATTATCACGTAGGTGGGAGGGGAACAACAGTAATGAGCCATTGTAAACACAAAAGGAAATTTATCCTTGGAACTTTGTTATTCATACACAAAAGGACTCTTTATTAATCCATAGAGCATACTACCTCTGCATCTCACAGCACCAGAACTGACTCTTAGTCAGATAATTCTTGCTTTTATAGCATGAGGGGACATTCCCTAAATATTCAAATAACAGTTAATTAACATACAAGAACCTTCTTGACACTTTGAGAAAGTGAACGTAAAAGAGCAAAACCAATTTATCATTGAGCAGGTTCAAACCAGAGACCTTCCAATTTGTAGATCGAGACGATAATCACTATGCCATGGCACTTGATGGTTGAAATGAAATGCAGCAATATAAAACTTGTTTAAATAAAAAAAAGTCTTGTAAAAATGCTAGAATAATTGCTTTTATGTGATGATAATGTGTTTAGATTTTGGCAACAGATTGTATAAACTACATGGGAAGTATGTTCTTGTAAATATTGCATTTATAGAAAAATTATTGAGCTGCAATTTGAAAAAATTGTAGACCTAAAAATTCTGACTGTCACTTGGTGTAATAAAATTAGGTCTGTTTGTTATCTGTCCTTCCTTAATCTTGAGAAAGGTGTTAGGTAGATGAAAGTTGAGACTAGATATGGAAAGCTTAGAGCAGGAGGTTTGGATTAACTATAAATGAATGTCAGGTTTGAAATGGAAGTAACATTACTTCAATTCAAAATTTTTCCCTGAACAGAGTTAGAAACATAACTGGCACAACTCTATTGTTAACAGGAAAAGTATGATGCAGGTACAGGCAAGTGCTTTGTTGCAGTAATGGCATTATGGCACATCTGTTTCACATTTTATCATTGTCACAGTAATTCAGTGAATATAATATATATTTTTTAAAATTACATCCTTCTTTGTAAGAATTATATTTAGTTAATTATTTTGTTAAATTTTTTCCAATAAATGACACTATGTGTAAAGCAGTGTTTCTCAACGGGGCGATATCGCCCCCATGTGGGCGTTTTTCCATGTTGAGGGGGCAATTTGTAACAATTTATATTTTGGGGGGCGAAAAGCAATTTTCTGATAGTAATAGTAAAACATTATATTAAGAATAATTAGATATTTTATTCATTATATCGTACAATAATTAAACAAATAACATTATATTAGTCAATACTCTATTCAATGCAGTACGAATTTGACGTTAGCCTTGGCTCTCGGCATCGGAATTTTGAAGTGAAGGGGCAACAATTCGTTAGAGGTTGAGAAACACTGGTGTAAAGCCAGCAATCAAATGTAGACAGAAATTAATTGATGTATAGAAATCCAGTTGATAATTTGGGTGGGATGTACAACTTGATCTAAGTTAGAAGTATTTGAACATAACTGCTGTGTTTTGTAGCAATTGGTCCAACAGCCCAGGAGTGTATAATGAATGAACAAACAAACATCCTCATTTGTATATATAGATAATGCTATAAAATAAATTAGTGTATATTATAAAATAAATAGCATAATAAATTATCATCAATTTCAGAATTTTTCTTATTATTATTTTTTAGCTGTTTCATAAAGTAATTACAAGATACTGCTTATATTATTGGATTTATTATCTATATACATTTTTTAATAGCATTTATTTAGTTATTAGATTAGAAATTATTCACAATATTTAATTTAAATTAAATTTACATGCAAATATTTACATATTGTATGTATGCATTTACATATTGCATATTGCAAAAAAATTGCAAATATTTACATAAATTAAAAACCACTAATGATTATTTTTTTAAATTTATATAAATATTTGCTAATTCTAAAATAATTATGGGCAATTTAATTGTTAAGGGAGTTAAGAAAACATTTCTCTAAATGAAAAATGGTGATAATGCTGTGTATAACTAATCTGCCAGTTTGAATTAGTCAATAAATGTGACAGTTTTACTAAGAACAAGTACTTTCTGTCTAATTAGGCCATCTTCAAGTACTCTATCTTTTGAATACAGTAATACCTCGACTTACGCTACCCCGACTTATGCGAACCCGGAGTTACACGATTTTCAAATCTCGTCGATTCTTCTTTTGTTTGAGCGCCACGCAACCCTTGATTACTCACTCCCCAACACTATTGATCAGCTTACATCNGTATCGCTACTAGTTAAAATTATTTTTAGAAACGGCACGTGATTATAAGATACATGAGATTATTATGGGATGCGCACAACATATCTCCACGAATATAATTTATAAAGAAATTGTAATTTGGAAAGGCACGTGATTACCTTCCTTATTTGAACTTCTAGTAACTGAGCACGTTCTTATTTAAAAACATTCGATTTAAGAATCCAGTACAGTAAATTTGGCCTGAAGAAGAGCCCAGGAGGGGCATCAAAAGCGTTTGCCAATATTTGTTTGGAGTTTTCACGCCGGATATTGGTTAAGAAGTAAGCATATTTGTTTTATATGACCTGGTGTGGGAGAAATCCTTGGTTATCTTAATTATATATCTTCCACATGTTCTTTGAGTTTATTTATCATATTTTATGATAAATAGTTTGTTTTACATTTTAAATTAGTTTCTTAAAAGTTGGAATGCACACTTTCAGAAATCCATTTCATGATGCAACAAAATCTTTAATGTATTGGAAAGATAGAGAATCTGAAGATGGACTTAAAGTTAGACTGAAAGTATTAGTTCTTAGTGAAAGTTTTGCTGGTAATAAGGTGTTTGGTATTTGTTTGTTAAGGCTTTGGTAAACATATACATGTGAGGTGTAAACACCTGACTGTTTTTATTTTGTTATTACAAAGTTTGCCACAAGACAGTGCCAGTGACATTAATTATTCTAGGTGCACACTTCTTGGATTTCAGTGATCTTGGAGTACTATTACGTAGTAGTGCATTGCAATGGTAGAAACATTCATAAAAACTGGTCTGTTATGGCTATGCAGCGAGTGTTTCAGCATCATTAACACCTGACAAGCTCTCAAGAAATATAGTCATTCTGGGTTAGAAAGTGATGGAAAGAAGGTTCGGTGCGTGATTCCTGAACATCTTCCGCTGTGTGATGGGTTTCCTTCCAACTAGAATGGAACAGTGAAAAAGCAGGGTGATCACCTTGTGAACATTATTTTTAAGATATAACTGAGGTATTTTCTTAAACTCTGTTCTATTGGATGTCTTTTTATGGCAGTAAAATTTGTGCAGTACATGGGTGTATAGATTTTCTAAAAACAATCAGGTGTTTATGCCCACCCTAAAATAATCTCTGTTTATTGATGTAAATTTTAATATTTAATTAAGATATTTATTTCATTATTGTAATTGCCATTATCTTATTCAATATTTTGATAAGAAATCTCTCCATTATGCAATACTTAGATTACATCATAGATATTAATTGAAAATTTTGCACCTACTATTTTTCTTTTCTAATTAAACTCTCTAATAAAGTACAAACAAATGAATAAATTTTTATCACTCTCGAATGTTTATAATAGGAAAAAGCAACCAAAGATGCTCTTACAAGAAAACAACAAAAAAATAAACAGAAGTTGCATTCTGAGGCAGACGATAATGGACCTACCGAATTAATTAAAAAACCTAAAGATTATATTGTCAAATTTTCATTTCCAAATCCTCCGCCACTTAATCCACCAATTCTTGGTTTGCATAGTAAGTATTATTATAAATATGTGTAATAATTTATAAATTATCACTAAAAATATTCAGTATAAATTTTAAATATTTGTAGATGTACAGTTTGGTTATCCAAATCAACCACTTTTATTTAAAGACTTGGATTTTGGAATTGATATGTCTTCTAGGAGTGAGTAATAATTATAAAAGTTAAATATATATATTTGTTGTTGTTATATTTTAAAATTTTTATTATGTTACATGTCGCTGTGATTTTATTATATACCTAAATTATGTTATGCTTGTTTCAAATATTTAACTTTCTTTAAGATTAAATTAATTAATATAACTGATGATTCTATGTTGCTCCCGTTTCATTCTTCCTGGTTAATTAAGCAAACAATATTTTCTTTTAATATTACTTAACAATACAGAACAATATCATATGTTTAAATTTATTATTATTTTTAAATTTGAATATATTCATAAATTAAAAAATACTGGAAAATTGTTTATCCTGTATGTACATAGTTTGAAATTCTTGATGAATAACGGAAACAATCATTAGTATAGAACAACGGTGGGCAACCCCCGGCCCACCCGGAAAAGTTTCTATCCGGCCCGCGAGATGTTTAGAAGAAATTATAAATAAATATTTTTCGATGTAATTCGTCTAGTTTAAATTGAATACAGTAGAGCCTCGATTATCTGACTCAATTGGGGACTGGAGTTGGTCGGATAATTGAAAAGTCGGATAACCGAAAAGTATGAAAAAATCCATTATTAGTGTCGTATATTATTATATCCCATGTAATTAGTATATTAGTATAACGCTATTAACCTACTTTGCGTTGAATTTTCATCAATGTTAAACCTAACAAAAATTTTTAAAAATAATAATTGTCGCTATTGTATCGTTAAAAATGTGAAAATTAAGCCTCGTTTAAATAAAATGAGTGTTTCCAGCTAAAACACGTAAAAATAATATTAAAGTAGCCAAGACATAGCCAAATATTGTAGCGCCACATCACTAGCGGACATTTGAAATTTGCCAACTAGGACGGTCGGTTAACCGAGGTGGTTAATCAGGGTTAATCAGGGGTCGGATAATTGAGGTTCCACTGTATTATTTTCTGAAGTGTTGCGGCAGCAATGACAGGAAAAAATAAGGAAGTCATTTTCTTATTCAAACAAAAAATGGGAGAACAGAATTTTTCTAAATTATTTATATCTCATCGCGTCATCCAACTAGAAAATCTATGTGGAAAAGCTATGCAATTAGAAAATGTAATGTCTGTCGTTATTCTGGCTCATGTTATAAAAAAGGTTGCCCACCCTTGGTATAGAATATAAGTATATTGTTATGTAAGAGAAATGGTGAACTAAAGTTCAAGATATAATTTAAAATTGTAGTAAATGATTGAGAATATTAATGAAACTTTAATGCAATAAAGTTGTATCATATAAAAGTTTACATGATCAAAGAAATAAAATTAAACAATTTTGTTGATAGGAATGTTTATATATTGTATACATAATATCACTTGTAGAAATATTAAGGTTATGTCACACATACTTAAATTTAAAAACTAAAATTGATTACCTAATTTATAAATTTTTACACGCCAGCACAGTGTCATGTGCCATGGCAAATAGGCTGTTTGGTGAATCTGCCTGTCTGTACACTCTGTCGTGTGTCAATGTGATCCACTCTCTATCTCTTCAGCATATTTGCAGATGTTTCTGCATCCATAGTGTCACACATTGCTGGATGGTATTCGTGTTGTGCCCAACACTTGTGGCAAGTGCACGCATTGACAAAACGAAGCCACTCAGCTTCAGGATAAGGTCTTGTTCTCTGACTGTTAACTGGTGGTATTTGGCTTGCAGTCATTGCCAAATCATTTTCTACACTTCTTCAAAAGTTCAGCTGCTACAAATTGTTGTTGATAGCATTTACGGCCCAGACTGGCTGCTGTTCTTTATAGCTTGAAACTGGTTACCACATGACCCGATAAATAGAAAAACTTAATCATTTGCATATCTCTGTCACCTCTACCAGTCCTGCAATTTGCATGTGGCTATGTACTGTACATTTCTTTATGGTGTTGCAATTTCACTTTTGAGGAGTGTGTGTGTGTATTATTGTTTTATGTTATAGTGATTTGAATAAATGGTAATTTAAACAATTGTATTAAATTTATATATTTGATATTTACAGTCGCTTTAATTTATTGAATTATTTTAAAAATAATTAACTTGTTTTATTGTTATTTAATATATTGTTTGTTTCAGTTGCTGTTGTTGGTCCAAATGGGGTTGGGAAAAGTACATTTTTAAAATTATTAACTGGAGATCTGACACCTGTGAGTAATTTAAATATATATATATAGTACAGGATGATTTGCTCGGGACCTAACACTTACTTTGTTCAATACCACATGATTTCAGTCACATTTGAATAGCATAGTGTTTTAAATATTAATGTTAATTATTTCAGCCATTACTTACTCTGTGTAATGATAGCTTAAACTGCCAGCTTTTCTTACTTCAATTGTGTATTAAGTGTTATTATTTACTAATCTCATTCAAAGTTATCAGTCAGTAATCATCATGAGTATAGGCAAATTTCAATATGATTACAATAAGTGGATTTTAATGTGTATGTTTATTCTGTGTTCACACGTTATTTTTATTCTGTTTAGCTGAAGGGTGAACAAAGGAAGAATCATCGTTTGGTAAGTTTGTTTATATTTTTCCATATTTGGATATATAAAATTTTAACAAGAATGTAATTGTAGAGAATTGGAAAGTTTGATCAACATTCTGGAGAACAATTGAACCTAGAAGAGACTCCAGTAGAATATCTACAAGTAAATTAATCTTCAAAATATTTATATTATTATATATACTTTATTTATTTATTAAAATTGTATATTTTCTTTCATTGCTAAAGAGATTGTTTAATCTCAATTATCAAGATGCTCGTAAACAGCTCGGCACATTCGGTTTAGTAAGTTATGCTCACACAATCAAAAACAGTGATTTATCAGGAGGGCAAAAAGCGAGAGTAGCGTTAGCTGAATTATCCCTCAGAGCACCAGATGTTCTGATTTTGGTTTGTATTTGTTTAACGAATCACAAATAGGTTTATTGTATATATATTAATGCAAGTTTTCATTACAGGATGAACCTACAAATAATTTAGATATAGAATCTATTGATGCTTTAGCAGAAGCCATAACAGAATATGAAGGTGGTACGTATAAATTTAACTTTTGTTACAAGAATTTTTTTCATAACATTTAATAATTGTAATTAAAAGTAATTTCTTATGAAATCAGCTTATTGGTGGTTAGTCTTTAAGTTCTGCTACTTTATTGTGTGAATGTTTATAATCCAAACAGGAAATTCAGTATAAAATGTTCTTACTGTTTGTAACTTTTTTTGACTTCAATGAGTTTTATTAGGTTGTTCGGAAAGTAAGTTCGTTTTTTTTACCACTAGACGGATTAGTCATATCTTTCCTGCCATTTTCATTCTAAACCATATTATCATTATATATTTTGACAGCTAGCATTTTAAGGCTTATTTGTAAAAAATTTTGTTTGATTCTGTGCAATTGTTTATTTTTTGTGTTTGATCAAATATGGAAGATCGAAAGCATCATTTTCTGCATATTTTGCTTTTTTATTACCAAAAAATCAAAATGCTGTTCAAGCAAGATAAAAATTGTGGTACATGTATGGAGATGATGTGTTGAGAGAAAGACAGTACCAAAACTGGTTTACAAAATTTCGTTCTGGCAATTTCAATATTGAAGATGCACCACGTTCTGGATGGCCAGTTGAAGCCAATGAAAACAAAATAAAGGTACTGATTGAAGCAAACTGCCAAATAACAACATGTGAAATCACTAAGAAATTAAATTTGTCAAATTGAACTGTTTATGATTACTTGAAACAAATTGGTTTCGTTTCAAAGCTTGATATATGGGTTCCACATGTTCTTAAAGAAAGATGCTCTCTTTGGTGGGATTTTAAGGAAATTTTTTTTTGGAGCTTTTACCAGACAATTTAACAATTGATTCTAAAGTGTACTGCCATCGAGTAAACAAATTGAGTAATATCATCAAACAGAAAAGGAGGCCAGAATTGATCAACAAAACAGGTGTAGTGTTTTACCATGATAATGTCAAATTTCACACAAGTTTGGTAACTCATCAGAAACTGTTATAACTTAGATGGGACCTGTTACCACACCAACCATATTTGCCAGATTGAGCACACTCAGATTATTACTTGTTCCACTCTATACAATTTTTTTTAACTGTAATACATTTACTTGAAATGACAATGTCAAAAATCACTTGGATCTGTTTTTTGTAAGCAACGATCAAAACTTTTATGAATGTGAAATCATGCTACCACCAGAAACGATGACAACAGGTATTTGACCAAAATGGTCGATATATAATTCAATAAAATATTTATTTATTATAAAAATATTGTGTTTTTTTTCCACGGAAAAAAACGAACTTACTTTCCAAACATCCCAATATATTAACTTTGTGAGAAGCATCCAATATATTTCTAAAATGCTCTCTGGTAGTTTTTATAAGGTTTAGAATTTATTTGAATAAAAATATGTAAAGCTCTATTACTGATTTAATTTGTGTAATAATAATAATATCTTTCAGGTGTCGTGATAGTCAGTCACGATGAACGTCTTATACGTGAAACAAACTGTCAACTTTGGATTATAGAAAGTCAAGATATAGATGAAATTGATGGCGACTTCGACGACTACCGAAGAGAATTATTGGAATCTTTAGGAGAAATCATAAATAACCCAAGTATAGCAGCCCAACAAGCTATGAAACAAAAATAGGAAACTAATTAGTTAAAAAAATAATTATATAATTTTTGGCTGGTTCCATAATCTTGTTATTTGTTACAGAAATAATATATTCACTCATTTCAAAAATTAATTCGTTTTATATTTCTTACCTGTCGAACCCATCACAATGTTATATTTTCTATTCCAATTTTTCTGTAAATGATATCAAAAGGAATTACAAACTGTTGCAGATATCATGGCAATAAATTATTTTTTGGTATTTATGAAGTTTTTAACAATGAACTATTTGCTTAAGATCGAGACAAAATAAAAATTACAGTTTGATAAAGAATGAATCGTGGACTGCTTCTGTTGATAAAACTTTATAAATTTTCAACATTGAAAAATTTCTAAATATGTTCATTTCAGCACCAATATTATCTGTTTATTTTTCAGTATAAATAAGGTAAATAATACAGTTATTGGCCTCTTAAGGATATTTTTATTTTAAAGAATTCTTTGACATAACAGAGACTAAACAGTGAAATATACTTACTGGTGAATTTGTCTTTTTATAGCTTTTCTGCTGCCAATATTTACAAATTACAAATACCAATTGTTTAATCCGGAATGTGCCTTGTTTTACGAAAATGCTAAATTTTATATTATTGGCTGCTTTACTGTAGTAATTGGCCTATTTCATGACACATTAATTGTTTCTATTTTTTTATAAGGATACAGACAACCTAATACAAATTGATTGTATTTATTGAAACATTATATATCTACAGTCGACCCCCCGACCTCGACTGTAGTAACACTGTTGATAATTCTGTTTTATATGGATTCCATGTTGTACGAGTCACTTAGATTTTACAAATACGTGAGCCATTCACTGCCCGGCACGTGTATTTTACAAATACATGTGCCGGGCTATGATTATAACAGTGTTATAGGGGGGTCGACTGTATATTAAAATAATGATCTTTATGCTTCAGCTAAGTTATACACTCATCTGCTTCTTCATTAATATCTTCCCATAATATTTGTGTAAAAAAAAAAAATATAGGTTTTATTTTAAAAAATAAAAAACTTCTGCGAGTTCCATAAACATGGTTATTGGCCACCTCGTTAATATCTGCAAAATTTACAGTAAAGGAATTATTAAAATACACTACTACACTCACAAATAGTAACAGATAGAAACTAGAAATTTGCATGCAGTTTTGTTTTTTCGGTTTCTTATCAGTCCTGATGGATTCCCTTTTTCAATCTCCTCCATAATCGAACTTGGGAGAGGTACTATAGTTCATGAGAGTTTAAAGCTTCATAAAATAATTTTATGTATGTAGTGAGAACTAATAATTGTTCATGAAATGGTGTATTAAAATAAAATATTTAAATAGATTTATACATTATCAGACGAGAATATCTACAATTATTAAATTAAATATTACATATAACAATGTATAATTAACTGATTATTGTTACAAAATTTTGTTTCCTCACAGATAATATATTCAGATACAAGACTTTGCACAGTATAGATTAATGTTATAATCAAAATATGTATGTATGTATATATATTAATGGCAGAAGTTATCCAATTTCATATATGTGAAGCAATTGTTAGGTGCCATGGAGTTGCTGCCCACTGCTGGCAATCTGATGCAGGTTTCTCCAAACTGTTCTATCTTCTACCACATATGACAGTTCATGCAAGAATCGGTTACCTCCTTTATCTGGTCTAGCCATCTGGTTCTTTGTTGGCCCTTCCTGTGCCTTTCCTCTCTTCCCAAGCATATCTTTTTTTTTCTCCAGTCCTTTATGAACAAGCATCAAGTGGTCAAAGTAGGCCACACTTTGCTTCAGAAGCATGCTTTTAAGCAACAGGGCAGGCTTGATGGCTTTCAGATCAGTTTTCTTTGCTCCATGGCATCCCAAGGAGTCTTCTCTGCACTCAGAGTTCAAATGCATCTAGTTTTTCCTCTCGTGCTTCCTAAGTGTGTATCTTTCAGACCCTACATAACAATAGGGAATACAAGGGATCTAACTAGTCTGATCTTGGCTTTAGTGGTTACATCCTTACATGAAGTTGTGGCATGGCTTTTTTCCCAGTAAAATTCACCAAACACTAGACTATAGTAAAACAATAGACTATGTTAAATACAAATCTTTAGTGGGATTTTTAACAGAGAAAAATACTGTAGCAAATGGTGGGTTATTCCACATCTAATTGAACAGTCCATCGTTTGTGACAGTATTTTTTGTTAAGAATTGCGCTGTATTTAAATTTGTGTTTAAGGTGGTCTATTGTTTTAATTGTGTTAAAATTTACCCATAAGTCATGGCATTAAGATTACAACAGAATATTACAATTACAAAGAACAATATAACATTACTCATTCATATCATACTTAATTCAACAATAGAATAAGCCGTGGTTTTTAAATAATCGGTTTTAAATTTTCAAAACTTTAGTAAAAGCATAAAATATTTAAATTACAGGTGAATTTTTTCACAATCGGTTTATCATCATCAGCTGACGTAACTTATTGAGACAAATTTAAAAACCAGATATTTCATATATAAATGTTTGTCCAAAGTGTTTAAAGTTAGATAAAAATTTCACATTTTAAATTTAGTTGCAGGAAATTGATAGTAATTTTTTCCGTTACCGTCGATACACGCGAAAACCTGTCGACTTAATTCACTTGTGATGTATAGTTATAAACACTGCCCCACCATCTGTTGAAAGTGACTCAAACGTTTTAGTATTCGCTTATTACATTTTTCCTCAGTTTATGTTAGTGTTTCGATCGGATTTTAAACACGAAACCAACCGAAAAACAATGGAATTATCATTTTATATTCAGGTTAGTGACGTCCAGTTGTTTTAAAACAGGAAATTTTGGTGTTTATTTTTTTTTAAATAATCCAGAAATTTATTCAAGTGCAAGAAGGATCCAAATTTGTATTTTATTGTCAAATTGAAGCCGGCCATAATCCTATAGTAGGATCCAGAAATTTATTCAAAATATAAAATAAATTTGTTTTGGTTTCGTTTAAAACTACTACTAATTAAATTCCAAACGAAGTGTTTTCTGTATTGTCGACAGTTAAGCAATAACACCAGCTAATTGTCTCGTAGATTTTACCGTAAACGTGTTTTAAAATTTGCACCCTAGATTAATATTAAACAATCGATGATTAACGGTGTAAAATACAATTATTAGCAGCCAAATTAGTGTTCACCTATTTACCACAATGGTAAATAGGCTTACGACAAAAATAGGTGCCAGAAATTTAAGATTAGTCGGGAAAAAATAAAAGGAATTTATTCTATCCGTAGTCACTGATTAGAAATTATGTTTATGACGAAACAAACAGGCAAAACTGGCGGGCAGATTGATTCGATAAGAAGACGCATCAGTATTTTCTACTTTATTATATAAATAAAAACTTTACGACTAGTTATATTAATTAAAAGGAACGTCACACGTGGTTTTACAAGGCTATCTCTTGTCGTTTAACGTATACAATGATTATTATTATACCTGCTATGTCCACCATTGGTGGAGTGGACAAAACCATTGAACGGGTTCGCGCCTGGCCACGTGGTTTTCGGATTTATTACACTAATACCTAAATAGGGGTCAGTTTTCCATAAAAGACACTTCGTGGGCTTTCTCCTCGTCAGGTGGCGCCAACTAAGTACTAATTAGTAATTAAAATATCTCTAATAACAGATGGCGCCACACACCGTTTTTAATTTTGAGCTAGTGTCGTAGTGTTTTTTTTCTTAAATAGATTTTATCATAATTCAAAAAAATTATTTCCTTTAAAGCTTATGTCGTCGCTATTTTTTATTACGTTATATAAATTTTATATCTTACCATAATTTAAAATTATCGGATTTCCTTCCTGGTGCCCTTAACCTCCGGTTCGAGTGCCAGGAAAGTCGAGGAAGAGCCATTGCCAGCTTTACTTATACAAAAATAAAAAGAAAATAAAATATTTTAAATTAAAAACACGGATTTAAAATACAAAACAATTATTTTCTGAACAACTTTTTTGCGAAATTAAAATTTATGCAACCAAAGTTTTGTTTAAAAAATGGTAATGTCAATTAGTAAGTTAAGCAATTTCATTTACAAATGAATTAGGAGTAACAATTAAAAAATAAATAAGCGAAGCATCTCAATTTAGATTTACGAACGTTAATCATCGAGTGAGGAACATCGTCATGGCCCAATCTAATCTCCAAGGATATCTTTTACTAAAGTCTTCGGGTGGTAGGTACCGAAAAATTTCTCAGTAGTGTCTTTGATACTGTATTAGTGTGGTAAGGTTGTGTGTTAAATTAGGATTAAGCATTTTGAAGCCTCCAAGGAAACTTTGGCTGGTTTATCGAAATGAAAACTGCCAACTTTTTTGCTATAAAAATGAGTTTGGGAGCGAAAATGGATGCAAGGCTCCATTGGAGATTATTAACCTTCAAAAGGCGGCCATAACGCCACACGCCGAAGAAAATAATCGATTTATTATTTAGTAAGTTCCTTTTAATATTAATACAAGATTTTATCCTTAGATTACATTTGGATTAATATAAAAAATAATAATTTGTGCTTAATTTTAGCTCCGAACAGAAAGAATATCACTTATTCGCGGATGATTACGAATCCATGATGCGATGGATTATCGACTTGCAGGTGGGTCCTACATCCAAAATCAACACAAGTAATAATTTATAGAGCAGAAAAGTCGATTTTTTTTCTTCAATTTCTTCTTAAATCAGAGGAGGAGAGACGAATGGAACAATCAATTCAACACGGCACCCATTCGCTCGGATTACGAAGATACCAATTTTGAAAACAGAAACGAAATGCTACCGGTTAATTAAGTAATTATCGACATTTTAAGCTGAAATTACAATGATTTTATAATTTATATTAAATTTTAGAACAAAGAAGAAATGCAAATTGTACTTCACAATACCAAAAGAGCGGAAGAAAGATGTGAAATTAGAGCGAATTTTTGCTTTTCGGATTACTCAACTGGTCAACTTGGCTCCTATAAATTCAACAGTAAGTTGTGATTCGCACGTACGTTTTTTGTAATGTTGAGTGGGTTACCTGTACTATTTTGGGTATCCATTTGTTTGGAAAGAAGTAAAGTAGGACGAGGAAACTAGTCATGTGAGATTATCGTAAATATATATCAAAATTCTTAAACCGAAAATATGTATAAAGAGTAATTTACCAGCGGAACCGATAACTTGGCACAATAACAGGCTTAATTTAAAGAAATTTGTTAATTGCGTTCTAGAAATAATAAAACTTGATTAATCTTAACCAGGAGGCAGCATGGCCGAGCGGTTAAGATGACAGCTTACCGCTCTAGAACGAAAAATCGAATCTCGACGGGCCGAAAACCTAGGAGGAGTGAAAACTTTGTTGTCATGTTTAATTTAATATTTTACAGATTAAAATTATTATAGTAAAAGTATTTTAATTTTTACTGACGTACGTAAGTGAAATTCTTTAGAAAGCACTTCATCAACTTCGTTACCTCAAGAGGAAGACGACGACATAACATCAGATGAAAGGCAAAGAACAAATTCAGCCCCCGAAGCCCAAACAGAAACAATACCGAAAGTATTGGAGGAATCAAACATCAATTATTTTCATCCCGAAGAAGAATGCGATGGGTTCGTACGAAATGCGTTTTTCTAGTCCTTAATTATAATACAATTTTAATAAAAAAAATTACTTTGACAGTTCGATTTCTAGCGATTCTGCCGTCTGCACCAGCGATTATCACAGTGTCAAGATCCAAGAAATGGAAGCAGAAATGAGGTCGATCCTATCGTATTTATTTATTTATTTATTTAAAAATTAGAATTTTAACAAGTGGTTTCGTCGTTAGGATGACTCATAAAATACTATCTGAAGCGTTATGCCGCGAAGCCGCTTACAAATCGACAATGGAAAGATTGGAGGATTTGGTGGAAGAGCTGGAAGATAGAATGTCCCGTTTGCAAGGTGGAGTGGGATTTTGGAGGTAAAATTATAGTTTAGACGATGAAAAGGTATTAAATAGTGTTTTCTGATGACCTTCTCCGCTGTTTTCTCTATAACACGGTAAAGTATTGCAATCGTGCCAAGTTTTATCCTTCAAGTTCTTTGCAAATCTCGAAGTTTTGAAACCTCCCGAACCCAAAAAAGTAAAGAAGAAAAAATTCGCGCGATAGTGGGATCTGGTTTAATAAAAATTTTAAAGTTATTTATAATAAAATGATGTGCTATACACACTTTTAACTTTGTGCTGATGTGTATTAATGTTTCATAAACATAAATATTTTATGCCGGAAAGGTCATGTAACGCGTTGTTGGATTTTTTTAGATATCTTTCCGGAGATAGGACTTTGGTGAATTTCCGAAAATTAGAAGAAAAATGCCAAATTTTAAAAAATCACAACATATTCTTAAATGATGAAATTCTCAAATTAATTAGAATGTTACAACAAGAGCAATTTCGTTTTCAAACCAAAGAAGTGTAAGTTATTATTTTAATAATTTAAATATGCTTTATTACATATCTATTTTAATCTATTATTTTGTTTAATTTTTAAAATAATTTTATAAATTCAAAATTTAAAGTCTTCATTTTAATATCATTCGCATTAAAAAATTTCTAGTCAAATTCAAGATATAAAAAACCAAATAGAACAGATGAAAAGAGATTACGTTTTCCTATTCCTGTCATCGATTCGAATTTTTTACGGAGATGGACCCGAAACTACCGAAGTTTATTTGTACGGCGGATCCAGGGTTCGAGTTTTTTTTTTCTAATTTTTCTAAATACAGTAGTACTGTAATAATAACAGATGGCAGCACTGCGGACGTTAATTTTAGTGCTGCCATCTGTTATTAACCTCGGCAATTTCTAAATTTCTCTGGAAATTTTTACTGTTACAGCATAAAGTAAGAGTGTTATCTTTACTAGAAGAAGCGAGAAAATTAAATAAAGATTTACCCACTTACGATTGGTAATACGAGAAATTAAGGTTTATATTTTTAAAAAATCATTTTTTGGGGGGAGTAAAAATACTTTTTTTTTTTAGTTTAATTAAGCCCTGTTACGTTGACCCTATGGGATTCGAGTACTGTTTTACTGAAGAAAGCGTCGTCTTACATTATATTTGCTCCTTGCTGTATACTCATTATAGTAAACAGCTTCGATCGTACGAAAAACACGTCAATGCCTGGAATAAATATTGCAAGCAAGACGAAAAACTATACATAAAAGTAATAAATAATTCGGGTACTGTTTCATATTTTATTAACTGTGTTGCAATATAATGTATTTGATTTTTAATGCAGAAGGAAGTAAAATTTCTGGTCAGGAAAGGAGTTCCGGATCACTTAAGGAAAACTGTTTGGAGACAATTTTATAGGGATAAAGTTCAAGATGTCATGAAAGAAAAGGGGCCCTACTATTATAAAACTTTAGTAAACACTGTAACAGAGTCGCAGGCGAGTAAATATAAAGGACACTATGGAATTAATTTACACTTTTCTGTCCTTTAACTTAACTGTACTTTTTTATTTAGGTTATTTTGTACCATAACAGACAAATTGCTTTGGATTTATTACGTACTATGCCCAATAATATACGTTTTTCTACACCGAAATCTGAGGGTGTAATTCATTTTTTGTTCTTAATTTTTAGAGTAAGAAGCGAGTAATGTATGCACTTAATTTTAAAAAAATATTCTGTATATTTTAGGTTATTAAACTGGAGGAAGTATTGCTGGCCTTTTGCCTTCATAACCCTTATCTAGGATATTGCCAGGGGATGAATTTTTTAGTTGGGATGTGTTTACTGATATTTGAACCCGAAGATGCATTCTGGTAATTTTACTATTGAAAATGAAAGCTCGTTTCTTCATATATTTAACGAAAATGTAATTTCTGAAGAGAATCTTGAATTTTTTCAGGTGTTTGGTGGCGATAACGGAAAAATTTTTTCCTGTTACTTACTTCGATCAGAGTTTAATCGGTGCACAGGCCGATCAGGAAGTTTTGAAAGATTTAATTAAAGAAAAATTACCGAATTTATACCGTCACCTCTCGACTTTGGATATCGATCTTCGTACCGTAACACTTAACTGGTTCATGTCGATATTCTTCGATTGTGTACCATTTGAGGTAATGACGACACAATTATATATTCTATACAGTAAATATACTTAATTATTTTATTAATTAAAATATTTCCTAAATACAATATGTACATTACTATTTCACAATGATCGTATTTACGAGGAATGTATACAAGCAACTTATATACAACGTAATCACAATGGGCTGTACACTCTAGGATAAGGTTAGGGATGATTAAATCCCACGAGGTTTTTTTTAATGTAAAAAAATGTTAATAAATTATCAAATGTTTTGAGATAAACCTTCGATATTTAAATGTCCATTTTACAATTTTTTCGTATTTTAATGGCGAAGGTAAATCCTATTGCATGATTAAACATTACTTGTTTGGCACTCATAAATAAAAAAGACGGGACGATAGAGGTAGAACCTGTTACCTTCTCGGCCTTATCTTCATTTCCACTTTCTTTAGTTGGATCCATTCGTGACTGTCGATGTCGTACCAAGTCAGTCCGATTTTATATTTGCCATTAATGTTGACAAATTGACAGTGATTATACCACCATCCGCTAGAGTAATACATGGCGCAGTTGGTGTTACTAGCGTCGTTATCTCTGTCGGAGGTGCTGAACTCCATGCTGTTATGATACTCTAATGCGTTACTGGCGTTACCGCTGTATGCACCGATGGCTAATCTGTAACCGTCGTGTTCGCTCATAACCAGGAACATGTTATACTGGGCGTATTTGTAACGGCCGAACATATCCCACATGTCGATACGAAGAGTGTAATTGTCGCTGCTTGTCATTAAGTGAAGCGCTTCGTTTCCTATCCAGTACTCGTTTTCTGCATCTCCAAATCCCTCTTTGTACGCATCCCACTTGCGATCGAATTGGACCTCCCCGTTTTGTCGTTTCTGTATAATTGTCCACTGTCCTCCGTCAGTTTTCGTATCACAGAACACTTCTTTCGGATCCGATAGCCCAGGGATGTGGATCAGATTCACTTTACTCTCTTTGCTCTCGACCGAGGAGCAATCTGAATTTAAAAATTAATCGTAATTAGTTTACATAAATTTAAATTATGATTAAATTCGTTACATTAGTGTAATGTAATATGTAATTACCTCTGGGAAGTCTTCGAACGAACTTCTTAATCTGCTTCTCCAAATTCTCTTCTCTCTGCTCGACAGATGGCAGCAGGGAATTAACCTTTTCTACTTCCTCCGTTAATGCTTTCTGCTGATTCTTCCATTGATTTGTAGCATCCGTGTCGACTTTCAGGCGAAGTTCTGCATAAACTCGATCGATTCTTCCTTCCAACGTCTTAACTCGATTTTGTAGCAGTTCCGACTTCAGAGTTTTGCACGATTGCAAAGTGTGATTCAGCAGTTCCGTCTGAAGCAAAGTTAATTCGATATGGTTCCTTTGACTTTGCAGCTGGTTCAGAGACATGTCTTTTTTTAACATTTTCAACATGTCCCGGTGGTTCGACTGTTCTTGTCGAATCACCTGGAAGGAAGACTGGATCTGTGCCACGTTAAATTCTAATTTGGACACTTCTTTCTGAAGCTCTCCTATGTTATTTCCGTATTCTCCTTCGATAGTTTCCAGCGCTTCGAACAGTTGCATGGTGGACGAATGCAACTTATCTACTCCACCCGCCGTCTCGGTCATGTTAATTATGGCGGCGCTGTTTTTCCCTGTCGTGTCTTCCATTTTGTTTACACTCTCCAACACTTCTCCGACTTGACGTCTGAGAATTCCTTGTTCTGTTTGCAGAGATCTCGATTGGCTCTTCAGATGGTCCGAATTTTTCTTCAACTGTTCCACCGTCATGTTTAAGTTTTTATAATTGGTCCGCAGGGAATTCATTTCCTTCTCGTTAGCAATTTGGCTTCTTTCTAAACTTCTCAAGATTTCCTTCATCTTCGATAACTCGGACTTTATGTGTCTGTGGTGTCTGTGACGGTGCATGTTTTCTTCTAAAATTAATTCAAAATTATAAATGATTAGCCCACGGGAAATATAATATTTATTATATTTATAATAAATATAAATTCGTATATACTAACACTTACCATGCCCATTATACTCGTGCTCCTCACCCATTTTATAAAATTCGATTTCGTTATTCTAAAGGAAACAAAAGGGAATAAATTTACTTAAAATAATCGAATATATTATTATTGTGTTTGGAATTTTCAAACAAGTTTAAGTAGAGACGACTTACCTTTTTGTTCAGCACCTTTTGCCTCATTGAATCCAGGTCCTCCACCTGAAAAACAACAGATGGCCAACGTAAAAATCGGGACAATCGAATGTCTACTTGATGTATATACAAAGTTACTTAAGGCATTTCAAGGTGAACCGTAACACATTTACTCGATTTAAAAATATTTCACGATTCATTTAGTTATAATTTACATTTTCCTTTAATTTCGACCCCTTTTTTTAAAACTACTCAAATGCATAAAAGGGGGAGGGAGTTTGTAATTTCGTACAAGCGTGCCTCCGAGTGCAGATATCAGAGGGGCACTTTGGAGCGAATTTTAAAGCGAACGGGTTGCAATAAAAATATAAAATTTAGTCTCTCGGTGCCGATATTAAATATTCTTTGGCACATTTTCTTAGCGGGGAGTCCTCGATAGAGACAATCAGACCCGATAGGGACTTGTGCCAAGTTTAGTTGCACGAAAGCAAGTAACAGTTGAGGCCAAGCCCCAGGGCTAAATTCCGTTCTGCACCTGTCGTTTTTACAGTAGCTATTCTCGATCGACGTGTATACGTCGAAAAAAGAGGAATTTCTAGGACCGCGTAAAATATATATAATAAACTAAGGAAAAAATTATCTATTTTTACGACGCGTCATTATAAAAATCTATAAGTTAAATTATTTTTTAGTTACCTGCTGGTCTAAGCGCTGATTGTTCAGTGCCAATCTCTGCATTATCTCTCTCAGCTCGGCAGCATCTTGTTTCAGTTGGATTAAACCCGCGTTTTCTCTTTCCTGGGAAGCAACCATCTGATCGTAATCTCTTCTGAGAGCTCGAAAGTCCGATTTCAACAGTTCCAGATTGGAATCGAACTTCTGAAGTTGGTTCAAACCACTGGAGACGTTGAGAACTGCCGCCACTTCTCTTATTTCGGATCTCAGCTCGTCTACTTTCCTCTGAAGCCATTTAGTAGTGATTTGGGTAGTCCTCAGCTGTCCGAAAACCACGTTGCTCTCCTCTTGTCTGGCTTGTAGAGTGGAAACTTCTTGTCTGAGATGCTGTAGCTGATTTCTCAGAGTGGTAGTTTCGGTTCTGATATCGGTTACGTCGGCACTCCCTCTGGTTACTGGAGATTTAACAATTTCACTAAGGCTACGTTTCAATTCCTTCAACTGTAATTCCAAATTTTCCAGTCCGTCGTTAGGCGACTTGGCACTTAGTAACTTCTCTAATTGCCTAATTGTTTCTTGGTCTTCCGCGTGTTCCTTTTGTAGTACGGTCAACTGGCTCTGCAAGTCGTTGACCAAACGGGCTAACTGCCTGGTGTTGCCGCTACCATCGGCCGAAATAATCGTCCAAACAGCCAAGCTGGATATTACGTACAACCACCTCAACATCCTTTCGCGCTCTTTCATACTAACTGGTCCGGTCAGTCGGTCTCGTTCCTTATATAGCGGAAAGGAGATGGTCGACAGCTGCCTGATGATGCCCCAGCTGGAGGCACGTGGCTAGCAGATGCTTCTGCTCTCCCTGCGCGTGCCTGGCTGCCGATCTGGATTGGAACTCCTCCCCTTTCTTAGCAGTTTCCGAACTAGTCTAAAGAATAGAAATTAACTGTTGTCAATAGTACTCTGCACGTATAATACGGGTTCTTATCTAAAGTAAGCGCTCGTCCGCTAACCTTTCCGGCTCGATAAATCGGATACGAGTAATTATAATAAAATTTCCTACGTAATGATTTAAATAGCCGAATTTTTTTTCCTGATAAAAACGAATGCTCCTAATGAATGCGCGCATTCATCGGGAGCGTTAATTGACGATTACACAATATCTACGCTGAGTTTTATTGAAAAATAGACAATTAAAACGAACTTCCTTCAGACCAAGGATATAGATATTCGTAGATAACCACAGTATTTGTCAAGGGCTGCTGGTACCCTTAGCTTCGTTCAACCAAGGTCAATCGCTCTTAGTGGCAGGTGTGCGCCAGCTCTTGCATTCAGCGACAGCCTGCCTCTGAAGTCAGTTTTTTCCTATCTGAGGCACGCGACAGTTAAGTCTTCGACTAGATAAAGCATCTTAAAAGCGGATCTGTTTAAAAAACATGCATGAAATTTGCATTATTGCAAGTTGATGCGCATATTTCACCTCCGACAATGTCCCCGGTCGTAGAATAAATCACAGTTTTACTCTGTTAAGAACGTTACTAACTGTCGATGGAATTAAACGATAAAATTAGATATCGAAGGAGGGGTGCGCGGTTTCTTATATACAATTCATAGACTGTATTTAATAATCAATTAGAATTGATAAAATCCGATTAAAGTAAAAAATAGATGTAACACGGGAAATCTTAAGAGGTTTAGATGTAAGAAATGAGGATAAATAATCCAATCTTAGGCATGGTTCTCCTCCCTGTTTTCGTGTTAATGTGATAGGTATATAAAAATACTCGTTGGGTCAGTTTTTTTGGCAAGTTTTGGCTTTCATTCATTTCTAGACTACTCGTTAAGAAGCACCGCTTAATTTACTAAAGATAAAAAAGAATTTCGCAGATGCCACGTTGTAAAAATCCTTACTGAAGATGCGAATTTTTGATAATTTTCGCGTACGGGGGAAGGGTGTTGTTTTTCTTTAATCTCCGTCTGAGCCGCCAAATAGTTTTACGCTGGGATATCGAATTTTCCGAGATGCAAATGCGGCAGACTGAGCCAAAAACCGATACGTTGATTGGGTTGGATGTGTGGCCGCAGATGGTAACGCGGTCCAAGTTTAAAAATGTTTTACAATGCAGTTTGGAACGGTTGTCGAGGGGGCGACTCAACAATGAGGCGCGTGTCCCAGTCACGTGGCTATTATGACGTCACGGCCAGCTGGAGTCGGAGCGGAGAACAAATTGTAATCTTGAGGAGGGGTGTTGAGGCAGCTGCCGTCCAGGTGGTGTGGCTGCTTTTGTCTGGTTTTTGTGGCTCCGGTTCGTTCGCCTTATCTGAAGAAATAACAAGAGGGTGAACTAAAAAAACTAGACAGGGAAATACGATTGTTTTTGGCGTGCGTAGATACATAGTAATAGAAAGGTCGTTGCATGTTCCTTTGCATGATACGAACCAGTAGAATATTTTATCAAAATCTTTTCGTTAATTGAATTCCTCGTTTCTTTTTCCTTCCCCCCGTTCCTATTGTTTGTGTTCGTTACACTTCCTCTCCGTCCCGCCACACCACAAACATCGGAATACTCGCGATTTATATTCGTACGGAGCTTCGAACTCGCTACATTGTTTCCAATGCCGAACAAATTATCTACTTGGCCGAGATGAGTTATTGCTGGTGGCATCCGAGCGAGCAACTCGAAAAACGCAAGCCACTTTAAAAAGTTTTCCCGAAGAAAAAATATCTATGAATATTATTATTTCTAAATAAACTGTCAAGTCAGCTGAAATGTTCCTTACCGATGTTACTTGGAGATTTGCTGCGAAAATCGATCGAAATTCCAATATATATAGAAGTAGGTAGGTGCGAGGTTGTCCACTCGAAACAAACGAGAAACGAAATCGCTAATGTAGGGGAAAAAACGAATACACGTCAAATAACTAGTGTGATTATTTATTTTACTTTCAGCTTTCATTGCAGACCTTGACAACTGAATTCTTGATATCCTTGAATAGTTATATCACAGATGATATCGTTAGACGTTGTCTAATTGTAAAGTAACAAGCGTACATTTATGTAATTATAAGAAGGATGCGTACCCAGAGAGCGTTAATTATTAAAAAATCTCTAGAATTATTTCACTTAAGTCAGGAAATTACTCATTTAAAAATGTTCGTTTTGTAACCGGTCTACTCGGTTGTTATCTTTTTTTTTTAATAACTCGACGAGGTAGTTACGCTTTATTAAAAGAACTCTACACGACCACTCGTGTTCGGTGCAAACAAATAAGAAGATTCTTTGGAAACTATCAACTGGCAAGCACATATATTAAATTTAACAAGGCCGTACAACGATTTCTTTGTAAAGGGAAATCTCTCTCGGATACTTGAATAGCTTGGAACATGCGTTGTCTATGCGGTATAGTGTATCGTCTGCGTTCTCTATCAAAGGATAATATGATCGTTGGGGGATCTGGTGGACACGTGGCAACTAGGACAATGCCAGATGGTCGCTCCACCTGCCCCCTTATGGGGAGTATAAAGAGACCAGGTGGTTCGTGCTCTATCTACAGTAAATACCAGCCTTTCAACTTCCTACTAGCTCGCCATCCCTTCTGACCAATTGAGAAATTTGTTTGTTAACTGCAGCAATTTTAATAAAATAAAATAAACACGAGGTAATTTTTCTCGGCTCTAACACTAAAAAAGTAAAATAAATAAATAAATCGGTTAAGATTCGGAGATATGTCCGTATTACGTATTACTTCGGTTAAACGTAACGACGAAGTTGCGTAATAACGAGGGTCGCTTTTCTAGGATAAACAGGAAATAAATGAGTTTAAATTCGACATCTGCTCTTACACATCAGATTATCTTCGGAGGCAGATGTCTTTCAATTGGTTTCCAACCCTTGCCATCAGGGGGAAAATTCCGACAGTTCTTGCCAACGTTACAAGTTTGCTTCGTATCTGAACCAGAAATCACACCTGCCATCCCTTACGGGTAAAAACAGATGCTATCTACTCCACTACACTCGTATACTATACTCTACGTGTAAAAATAAACGTGTTAATTTTATTTTGGTTAATTGTTAAACGCGCGTGTATCCATCAATTAGCTGGTGTCCCGTTGAGAACTGTCAAAGTACAAATCACAACATATAATTGGCTTTCCCGTATGAGTAGGTGCACTTAATGAAGAAAACTTTAAAAATAATTAAATAAGATTAATTTAATTAGGTAAATTAGTGTACAAAATCTAATTGTTTATCCGAAAACACAGTTTATTTATTTATTCTGGCATTTCTAGTAAGGCGATAACCTTTAACATTTCGATCCTTGTTACGGTAACCTTCAATGCGTTTCTAATGAAGGTTATCGTACCAAAGGTTAACTTACGAGGGGCCATTTTATCTAAAATTGACAAATTATATGTCCGACGAATCATTAATAAGTAGCTCGAATTTGTTTTCGTTTTTTTTTACCACGTTCTTTCGTCTACACGTCTATTTGTTTAATGATCTTCTTTACACCATTAAAATAATTGTTTAAATACCTTCATGAATAAAATTCCACTTAGATTTGACTTATTTAGAAATGATTTTTAATGCCAGAATTATTTTCTATATATTTTTTTCTATTTTAATTCGAGGGGACATCGAATTTCGCCGCCATCTTTCTGATAAAAATATGAAAAGAAAATTAATGGACTTTTTAATTATTTTTATACTTTTTTAAATTCAAAGAAGTAAATTTTATGCGAGAATTCAATTAAATCGAATAAAGAATTTAAAACAAAATTTATTTATTTATTTTAATGGTAATAAAGTCGGCCATCTTGCATCTTCCTTAGGGCATGGAAGAGTGAAATTCCGAGATGATGGTTGCATCGAAATAATAAAAATAACTACGAGCGGTGGTTAATGCTGTCAAACCATTATTCAAATGAACGTTATTTTTTAGCCTGGTTTTACTTTCCTTAATAATAATGCTGTAAAACCTTAAGTGGCAGACTTCTCCAACATTAAAAAGTCTGCGTGCTTTTTATATTTATTACTTGTGGATTCAAACGATTCATTTTGACTTGTTATCGCTATTACATCTTACATTCGTAATGCTTTTTGAAATGTTTTTATGTCTAATGATTCCGGTTAAATTCATGAAAATTTTTGTAGAATTTAGTGTAATTCTTAATAAAGTTCGATGTAAACTTGAATTTTACCAAGGGCTTTTGAATTTCTTCCATGGACTTTTCTAAGGAATTGAACTTTTGGATTTTTTCTTGGACTTTTCCAAGGGACTTTGACTTTCTTCAAATTTTAGGACATTTTTTTAGAATTTTTTCTCCATTCTTAAGATTCCAAAGGTATTGATTTTTTATCCCATTATTCTCTGTGGTCCAGTTTCGATTTGAGTATCATTTTTCAAGTTTGTATAAAACATGACTAGAATTTATTTTGGAAGCAGCTGGTTATATATCTGTTATTCTCTCGAGTTCTGGTCCTTGAACTGTGTTTCTACTGTTCTTCAGAATATTTATGAATTGTCTCCAGGAAAAAAAAAGAAGTGTTCGCTTCGTGTTACATCTCTTATCAACGCCAAATTTTCCATCGAATGCTGAAAAAAATCACACTTCAACACCCGAAATAACGTTAAGTTTTGAAAGTAGCTGCATCAATTAATATTAATTAAGATTTAAATAAAAAATAAGGCTATATTTCAATGTCAGTAAAAAATATATCATTATTTTTAATTATTGCGGAAGTCTAATTATCGCAGAAGATACAAACACACATACTTTAATGCATACAAACTACGCATACGTATATGTAACCTATAAGTTATATTATATAGAAAATTATATATTTATAGAGGGCCTGCTCAGACGTCGGTTTTTCGGGCTTCAGAGGGGCCCCGGGCTTTCAGATTTCAAAGAAAATTTGATTTAGAAAAATTCCTGTTTGTAAATATCTTATTTTAAGGCCCCAATAGTTACTTTTCCCGAGGCCCCGCAAAACCTCCAGCCGGACTTGTATATATTTTGTATCAATATATTGTCGGTTATATTGATGTGGCGGAGGAATTCTATTGTAATAGGACACTTCCTAATTGTAAATAAAATAAATAAATAATAAATTAAAATTTTTAGAAGAAAAACATCAAATTATAAGAAATAAGGCTTTTTTTTTCTCGTTAAATATTATTCGTTTTACAGAGGAATGATGCGACATTTTTAATGATTTTTCTGTACAGTAAATCATTAGATTTTAGAAAGGAGTGAGAATGATAGACAATATCCCGAAGGCAAAGAGTTAAGTAGGAATTCTTTGATTTAAATACTCTTCACAGATTGTCGTTAGAGCACTTCATTTATTATTCATCCCTCTGTTAATCTTGGTTGCATGTCACAATAGCGACAGTCAAAGTTCCGCTCGATTTCTAATTCAGATTAATAAGCTTAGTTTTACTAATGAATTCTCTGGGGACATCATCAAAATCCGTTTACAAAGGCTATAATCAGATTAGATTTTAGTAAAAAATTTACATTTAAACACCACATTAATTCACTATTATGCCATTATGCAAGATTACTATTTTATAATTAAATTTTACTGTTGAAATGAAAATTTACTGCACATTAAAACTGTGATGCCAATGGTTAAACACAAGAAGGAATTTATTAATATTGTAATTATACATGTTGTGTACCATTGTAGTGATTGCAATACGTAATAAATAGAATTAAACGATAAGAAAAAAATGAGGGTACAATCTTTTTGTCAAAGGTATAGAGAGCGACTCATTAATTTCATTCTCCATCACCATTTGTAGTGGGCCATTTATAGGTGTCCACTTATACAGCAATTTCCGGTAGACTTCACGCCTGATATGCGCCAGCCTAAGATTAGGGTTAAGTGGTTGTACTTGCCATCTGGAAGTGGGCCTCATTTTGCTCCATATTATCCAGCTGGACAACTCGTGTGTGGAGGATACGCTGACGAGAGCAAGGGTCATTAGGTACAAAGATTGCTGTAACTATCACACAGATGGTTTGGTAAACTAAAACTAAGATACCGATCGATCGGACCGATACAGTCTATCTTTTTTAGATATAATAAAACGAAATTATTCGATATTTTAACTTTTTTTTTTCTATTTAGAAGCACTCTTCTATTCACTAGATGTCTAAAAAACATTATAATCATTTCATTTACACGTAATTAATCAAGAGCAATGCGTAAAGATCTCAGAGCCGGATCTAAAAGTGCCATCTGGATCTGAGTCGAAACGGGCCATTAAAATGTCTCCCATAGAACAATAATAGACAGTACGTAACCTTAAAAGACCCCTATCAATTTGCCACTATTTTTATAGTCCTTTTTTACAATGTTGGAGGCATCATTAAAAGCGCCCTACACCACTACTAAAATATATAGTGTATTGCCAGTCTATCCAACTATCGAATTCCTAAATTTATTTTTCGAATTTTTGAGGATTTTTTTTTTTTTTTGTAAAGAAGAGTCGACTATAGTAAAAAATTTTTCAAATTTATTTCGTTTATTTACGTCCATTGCCACCATTGTTTGGGACAATTGAAACTAGTGTCCGATTTGTTATGTTAATTTCGAATTTGCATCTATGGATTCGAATAATTTTACGTATTTGCATAACCGTTTAAGAACTAAACAACTTATAAAATTTCTTAAAATTTGTTATAAGATTTTGGTTTAAAAGAAATATAAATTGGCAGAATGATTAATGGATCATTTTCCTAAAAAATGCAATTTTGAGGGGGAAAAAAATTCCCTTTAAATCCGTTTTACCGTTTCCATTTAATCAATCATTTTTTCATTTTTTTTTATTTTTATTTTTCGACGATTCAATTTATATGAATATATTCGAATAATACGTGAAAAATTTGCATACATTTTAATAGATATTTTTCTCCTAAAAATTTAACGCAGTGTAAATCTGATAAGAGCAAATCTAATTAAGTTCCTCCACGTTAAAAAAAAAAATAAATACATTAAAACTAGCTGGACACGGTCGTGTTTACTTATGTACAAAGATACAAAAATGAAGGCGCGGTAATAAATTATTATTAATTCAAAATTTACATTAAGATACTGTACTTTATTGAAGTCGCAAATGACTTACTAATTTACGACAACGGCGGCCATTATATCGTTTCCTTCTCGTTTCATTAAATATTTGAATACAGTCCACGAGATTTAATTACTATAAATCTCAGTTAAGGATGACGATTTACACACGTATTTAACTGTAAATGTTAGCGTAAATAATTCATTTTGCAGCTCTCAACTCTTTTAATTAATATTACCCGATAAATTTGCATACATTAGCATAATTTGCGTAACCACCCGTGGCGTTAATGTGTGCTTTCTTTCACTGTATCTCTGTTAATTATCAGACAATTAAACAACCGTACGTATCCGTAATACTCTATACACCAGCAGTGGCCCTACCTTGTCACGATAGAAGCCATAAACTGCATCCTATTTTATACAAAATCTATATACAGTAGGACTTAATAAGAGTCTAAAAGAGCCTCGTGCGGCTTGCGAGCTAGTTTGGCCACGTGGTATATACCAAACACACGCACTATTAGTAGAGATAGATGAATTTAGATTAATTATTAATTCTGATGTGTTATTCTAGACTTTACTTCGTATCTGGGATTGCTTCTTATTGGAGGGGCCCAAAGTGCTGTTCCGTTTCACCTTAGCCATACTCAAGATGCAAGAAGAAGCCATTCTCAAGAAGAAAGACACAGTTTCTGTTATGAGACAATTGAAGGCGTGCGCAAAATTCTGTTACAACGTCGACGATTTGGTAAAGGTAAATTTGCGATCGATTAATATTACACAACGCCGATTCTTTTCATTAAGTTAGCAATTACTTGCCCGTCTTCGAGATTCTATCGTATATAATTATATCCGGTGTTAATGGTTGTGGTCGCGTGATGTTTTCGGTAAAAGATTACCCCACGCTGATCACGTGACTTCAAAAGACTACAAGACATTCATAGCGCCATCTAGTAAGGTATTTTAAAATTATAGATGACATTTCTAGAATAACACCAGTGAATTTTTACTTTTAATTTGTTATTATTATTTTTTTTTTTACATTAAAAATAAACTTAAAAATTTTTATAGAATTAATATAAATTGTATGTGAAGAAGGAATGAATGAATGAGTGGAGAGATGATCATAAAATCTTCAAGGACAAATCTTCCGTCATGTGGAATGCATTTTAATGTTAACCTTGGCAGAACGATAACATCTTAATAAAATTGTATTGTGCTAATATGCAGAGGTTAATAAACGAAAAAGTTAATTACCGTATTTTTCGATTTATAAGTCGCAACCTCTCATTAAGTTCATCCGAAATTTCTAGGAGCAGTTTTTAGGTCAGAACAAATTAAATGTACCCATTTTATGGGGTACGAAATTCCTTTGGATTGATTGGTGTAGGATTAATTATAATCATTTGTAAAGAAATTATACATTTATTCGGGCCTGTGTAGAGATTTTTTAATCGTTAGAGAGATGAAAGTTTAAAATTTAATTTGAAATATGTTATTTAATGTGAACATATTAATAATCAAAAATACACTATATTATTTTATAATTAATTAATATTTATTTATGTATAGTACATTATATATGCGTTAGTGTATCAATCTAAATATCGACGTTGTTATCATCATCATCATCATCAACCATCCCATTTTCCTTCTGTGATAGGGAAAAGGGATGAATGATGAATAATAACGGGATGAATGCTGGAGGGGTGGATGATGAGCGAATGGATGACGGAGAGATGGGTGATGGAGGGATGGATGCTGGAGATATGGATGATGGAGGGGTGAATGATGGAGGATGGATGATGAAGGGATGGGCGATGAAAAGATGGAAAATGGAGGGATGGATGATGGAGAGATGGATAATGAAAGGATGGATGATGAGAATTTATCTCCTCATTTAACTGCAACTCCTTTAAATCTTTTCCAAATGTTAATTCTCAACCTGTTTTTTGCCTCCTTCTCTTCTACTTCTCTCAGAACATAAATATTGTAAACAAATAAATTTTTATGATATATATAAAATAAACAAGATTCAGTACTTTTAGATATATATAAATACATACTATACTATTAATTTTATTTTTTCTCATTAATTTTTAGTAGCTCTTAATCATGATACATTGATCGAGTTATATAATTTATAGTAAACACCGTATTTAAAATAGATTTATATTTGTATTCGAAATTTATTTTAAAAGTAATATATCACTACGTACGAAACTTTAAATATTAAACACAAATATTTTTCAGAAAGCTCAAATAAAAAAGACATTAGCGTGGTCAGAATTTACTTGAAGTAAATTCAAGTTCTCTGCCTCAAGTAAATTCTGGCTACTCTAATTTTCATTTGTATACAGTTCGAACCTCCAAACAACGACCACCTCCGAACGACGGTCACGTTCCTGTCTGTAGCCGTTCTTCGGGGGTTGATGATTGATTGATAAGCGAAATTTAAAAAAAAAAAAAACTTCTCTATCAAAGAATAATTTGAAGTACGTTTTGAAGAAATTTATAATGAGAAACCTGTCTAAAACAGTTTCACAGTAAATGGAAAACTTACCTAAACGAACCTTTACCTTTTCACATTTAGTATAATTCGTTACGTAGAAAGGACAAGAATACAGTAAGACCTGTGTAAACCGGAATCGCACAGTACCTGGTATCTTTTCCGTTTTAAACAGGTTTTTTTTGTTGAATTTGTTATCCAGAAGCTAATTTATTGTCTCGATTTTCTAACTGCCAGGTTGTGAAAGCATTATTTATTATTTATTTATTTATTTTTCAGGTGGCCTTCGAAGATTTCCATCCATTTCCAAGAAGATCTGACTTAGCGACTAAACAAACTTATTATGCAAAACTGTTAAAAGATAGCTCGAAAAAAAGAGAAAGGAGGAGAAAATCCTTTGCAGATATGGTATAATTAAGCATAAAATTAGTGTGTTTACCATTTAAAAAATTAAATAAGTAAGTAATTTAATTAGTATAATTGTTTTTTTAAGCTTCCTGAAATGATGATCGATTGGAAATTAAGTGCGACCAGCAGGCCTTGCATCGATTGTGCTACCGTATACGATAACAGTTAGGTTAATTGCAATTTTGTATAAATATTTGTGTGTTTAGAACACAGAAATATTGCTAAAATTTCGTATTTTTCTACGTCCAGACAAACTGTGGTTGGCGTATTGTCACACCAACGGTTCTCAGATTGTTAAAATCAATGCGGAAGATTGCATCATGTATAAATTAAACATAGAGGTAAAGGGGCGATTTTATTATTAATTATTCTTCTAACCGAATAAATATTTAAAAAATGTGATATTTTAGTGTGAATCCCGCATTATATGTATGCACTCTGCAACATCGGACATCTTGCTTCTGGGTACAGTCTCGAACGTGGTACAGATGTACGATAACAAAAATGGGTTAGTATTTGTGTAAACCCGTGTAAAATTTAATCACTTCTAATTATATGCCAAGGAATTATGTGTAAAAATAAAAGAAATTTTTCTAATTTTATAGGAGATTATTATCGGAAGTGAAATTAAATGATTCCGTCCTTTGTTTACACTACCAAAATAAAGAGGAAGTTAATGTAATATATGCGGGCCTCGCCGACGGTACGTTAGGTGTGATCGAGGTAAATTGCTTAATTTGAGTAAATTAAATTTTTAATAAAGATTATTTTATGGCACTCGTTCTCTCGAGTGCCGTAAAATATTCAATATCTGTAATTTTTGTTTTATTATTTAATTAAAATTTGCCATATTGGATAGACTTATACAGTACTTCTACAATATTAGATAATTTGAGTTTAAATTTGATCTAATTTAAGAATGAAAAGATAAAAATGATGCCCACCTCTGGCCGAGCTGGCACCACTAGGTCGTGGGTTCGCATCAATCCTGGCTGACCACGTAGAGTTTAACGGGTGTTTTCACGTGCGTAACACCTAAATAGGGTCCAGTTTCTATAGACAGTGCTGACGGAAGGCTTCCCCCCTTGACAGATAGCCAACGTGTCGCGTTGCCTCATCCCTATTCACATATAAATAGATAATGAAATTAATAGTCGCTTAGATATATTTATTAAAGAAAATAGATGTTTAGAATTTAACAAATAATTTTTTATATTATTTTTTCTTCCCATTTGCAGAATATTTATGAAACAGGGAAGAAGAAAGAAGTATTTTACATAAGTATAGGTTCTAGTCCCGTTTCGTGTCTCTTGGAATTAGACTGGAGACTTTTATGTGCGTGTGGAAATCGTATATTCATCCTCAATTCCAGGTTATTTTATTATTAATAATAACTATTAAAAATTGCAATATTGAAGAATATTAATTGCATAATTAAATCGCCGCATACTTATTATTTCAAACGCAGAACGTTGGATACTTTGAACCAATTACAAATTACATGCAATGATATGGATCACATTTCGAATTTAGTGTGGAATGGGGATAACATTTGGACTTCAGTCAGAGGATCCTCCATATTGCACGTTTGGGACTCTCATACACTAGCGTGCAAACTTATCTTTGACGTCAAACATAATCGGCCCACGTGTCACTCTTCTAAGGTAAGTGCATTTTTAATGCTACGTTATTTAATTCTTTTCCTTTGAATATTTAAAAAATTATTTACAAGTTTAGAAATTTTAGGAAGACGATTCGTTTCTTCAGCCCACGCATATAAATGCCATTCTTCCTATCGATAATGGGGTCATTGTTGGCACTTCTGATGGATCGTTATTAATATATGACGTAGAGAAGAAAATGTCGCGAAGTATTAGTTACACAGGATCCTCAATTTACGAATCGGTTGGAGAAAACATTGAGGTTTGTCCGTAAATTAAATACTTAGTTGGCTTTCAGTAAGGGAATTTCTATTGAATGGCGAATTAATTTGCATTTAGGAGGAGGCAGGACCTCTAGATAGACCCGAAAATTTTAGAATTACAAGTGAAATTTCGTTGCCTTTCGACGTAACCGAAAATGATATCGATCAAGAATTAACGATTACTCTGCAACCAAGAGGTGAATCAGCTCCTCCACGATTAGGAGAGGGTCTGCAAACATCTCGAGAGCTCTCAGAAAATTCTCTAATCTTAGAATTAGAAAATTACAAAAATAAACCGAGGCAATTAGATGATGCGGAAAATAAAAGCATTTCCTCAGTCAATTTGCGTCAAGGATGCGGATTTTATGCGGTTCGAGACAATAAAACTGATCTAGCGGAATGTAAATCGCTTTCGTTAGCAAACAAAAGCGATCTTGTAAGTCCTAGTTTAGGTTTATAAAGGTTTATAAAATGACAGAAGGAATATAAAATGCCATTATTTTCATTTTTCTGTAGGTAATTGAAGGAAAAGAGATAAGCTTTCAGCCTGCTAATTTAACTCCAGCAGTCAGTTTGGTTTCGTTTAATAGCATTGATTATCTCTATTGTCTCGAACTTGTAATAAAGGAGAAAATTAAAATTGGAGATAAACCGATTAAATGCCTTCTGGACGTCAAGTAAGGATCCAAATTTTAAAATATAATTATCTAATTTTTAAACTTTTTATTCACTTATTTCCTTTGGTTTAGATGCAACAACGAAGTAAATTTTATATCGTGTGCTGGTCTTTACGGAGAGGAGGATGCAGTGATGAAGTGGAGCAGAGAAGGAAAGGTAATTTTTTTAGTTTGGTTTTTCTCTTCCTTCAACTTGTTTATTTTGTGCTTATCTCTTATCTTCTCAGATGCTGTGGACAGGCAAACAAATATTAGACATTTGTCCAATTACACCCAAGCAATCTTCGCTTTCAGATCAGAAAATGTTCAGCAACAGTATGGTGGGTGCAGCTGGTTCATCTTTTATAAAAACCAGGAAAAAGTCGATGGCCGAGAAAATCGAATTAAGCGGAATCAACAAAGTACAAACGTTGTTTTCAAGTTACCTGGAAAATAAAAAATAGAATATAAATATATATATTAAACATTTATGTATCTTGTTAAAGTGAGAGAGAAAGGAACAAAATTGAAATAAAAAATTTAATCGGTTTTAAATTATTAATTCATTCAGAAAAGAATTCTTTTTGTGGAGTTAAATGTAATAATTTAGTGTTTAAAAAGTTTCAAACATTTATTTTTAATATTTATTATTTTAAATTACGGTAAAACCACTGATTATAAAATAATTTAATGTAAAATAAAGAAGTTTCAAAGATAAATTGTGGATTTATTGATTAACAGGGACCTTTCCCATTTAGGAAAAAAAAATTTTCTCTCTACGCCATTCAGTATTATTTATATTACACACGTGCAACGGCCTCCTACATAATTTTTGAAAATGTCTACCCTAAATTTGTTTGAGGGGAAAAAAATATGTCAAATCTCTAATATATTTTTTATATTTGCAGAGTTTTATCCACCACGAAGAGGTCGATACTGATTCCATTGTGAAGCCTGGTGTAGTGTATAGCACGGTGTACGCTACACCATGCTTTACAATGGGATCAGTATACATTAATTAACACATATCCATAGATTTTACAAAGAAAACTACAAGAAAAATCAATTTTTTAAAATTTAGTTTCGTGATTTTGTCCGATATCAAAATGAAACATAAATAAATCGAAATATTTCGAGGATTAGATTATTTGTATAAGGCAAAACACACGTGGGCGATCTACCAAGTGAGGAATGCTTCCTCTCTGTGGGCCTTTTTTGACACCATAGGAAGAAGGCCGCTATTTATGCCCTCTTCTATGGGACCCTATTTAGTTGTTACTAACGTGAAGAAAGTCCATGTGTTGGCCAGGCATAACCCATGACCAGTTAGTGTCCAATGATTTTATCGACTGGTGGGCCAAAATATTTCATAAACTTTTATTTACTATTTAATTTACTTTCACTTTTTAAACGTGTTCGAAATACGTTCTTACGAGATAAAAATAGCACACATCTCACAATAGATGCAATATATAACAATGTTAACTATCAAATGAACCTTTTATCAAATCACGCGAATGATCTAGTTATTGACTAGAGATTAAAAAATAAGATAACGATTCACATATTTTTTTAATATATACTTTAATTAATCAATTAGAATTATTATATTAACCACTAATTAAAATTTCGATATATTAATTCTATTAATTCGAATTTTTAATATTTATTTTTATAAACAATAAGTACAGTAATACTATTTCTGTGGCAAATTTTCTATGTAATTATCCCAATTTCGCGATAATATTCTTGCTCAATATTATATATTATCGATACAAAATATTTTATTAGGAGATATAACAGACCCTTGTCACACTTCTTTTTTTTATGGAAGATAGGCCTATATTATTAAATGAATTTTTAAAATAAAAATAAACCAAGTTATTTAAAATTATTGTAGAAAAATCGAATGTATATTATTGTGGCATCGTCACAATGCCGGACTGCAATTTTTAATCATATTTTAATTTAAAAATTACCCCACTTCCGGTCAGAACCGGAAGTTCATGCTTAGCTTGCGATATCCGGTCTCGATTTTCATCTAAATCCTTTCTTGTGATTAACGAACGACGGACGGACGGACAGACGGACTATAGTGGTAATGTATAGGTCTGTAATTTAAAAATTGCAGCCCAATAAGAACTGCTTTTATATCCTGTGTAGTTCTTATTTGCCGGATTTTTTTAGAAGGAAACACTGTTTAACAAAAGAAATTATGCGATAAAATAAATTTTAACAATAGAAAATTAATATACTATAAAAAAAACTGAGAAATTTCGACTGTTTCTTTATGTTTTGATGGTCTTAACTCCAGTTAGATTTCATTCTTAACGGACATTTTTCTCAGAGCACCAAGAGGTTCCTTTATTGTATTTATCGTGGGTTCGGCCAGGCTCACAGTGGGGTCGATCTGGTGGTGTGGGAAGGAGCCTGACGTATCTGGGAAAAATTCCAGGGGGTTTCCGACCGCCAGGATTCGATTCCGGGTGTCCTACAGTGGTAGGCAAACACCTTAATCTTATCCATATAACGGACATCGATCACCTTTAATCAGATAAATCCAATAAATATAAGTACATTTTCACATTTATATTTCTATTTCAATTGTTTTTAGACAAAAAATTTAAGATTTTTCAAAGCCCAATTGATATGTATGACACATTTAGGCTATATATTACACGCGTGTAACTAGTTTCAGGCTCTGTACTTACGTAAGCGAAAGAATTTGAGATGGGAATTATTTTTAAAAATTTCAAAATGATCGATGATGATATATTAACTTGATAAATAATTAAATATTCAAATTCTTTTTAATTAATTAATAAAAAACAGCATTGTAATTTATTCCCGCTTAAATCATTTGAATATTTTCATATATATATCAATGAATGTTTGAAAGTTTACCCTGAATTACCTGCTTAAAATGAAGGGAATTTCAGATGTAAATATTAATTAATAAATATATTTTCAGCTTTAAAAAGTTCTTTCCGTGCAGAATTGAAAATTAATTAAGAGCTGTACTTAATAAAAATTAAAGCGTTTTTTTTCCTCTAGTTAATTAACGCTTAAAGTTAATTAATATTTAAAAAAACTCAATAAATTTAAATAATTTTCGCAGAAAATTCATAAGCGAGTTTCCCCCCAAAAAAGAAGAATTTGTTGGCATCAGTGAAACTAAAAATTACAAAGGAAAACGAATTGTCATCACTAAACAAAACCGAAATTTAAATTAATTATTAGCAATTTTTTTTTATAATTTTAAATTTTTCTTAAATTCAATAAATAGCTTTACGTCATTTTTATAAATTTATAATAGAAAATATGATAATACGATTATTTGAAAGTCAAATGACACGGTTAAGTAAGCAATATCTTATCATTTGGCATATGATATCCTCTGGTAAATATCACGTGTTCCTTAAACGAAAATACTTTTACAAGTTTATTTTCTTCAGTATTTAAATAATTAATATTAGAATTTTAATTGCAATTAACTAGCTTTTATATGAGTAACATTTCATTAAATCTCATTCTTCTATGAAAATGTTTTAATTACTGTTAAACGACGTAAATTATTACCAATTTTATTAATTACTAATCCTTGCCCAACACTGGCCTAGTGGATAAAACCACTGAACAGTAGTTTGTGTGGGTTCTTGCCTCATCAAAGGACTATCCACGTGGAGTTTTCCAGGTTTCCTTCACGTTAGTAACATCCAAATAGAGGTCATTTCTATTAAAAGTTCTTCCGGGAGGCATCCCCTCGACACATCGTCCTTGTGTCAGTTGACATATACAAACAAACAGTTATTAATCTTTATTTTAATATCATTTTACAAGTTTGGCTTTGAAAAATAATGTAGGCCTATATACAGTAATTTCTCTGCAGACACTAATATTGTACAGGCCGTGGTTATAGTGTGTTTAAAAAATTAATAAAAGGGCCCGCTTTATCCCGTGCCTTCGTAGAAGTTCTCGATTGCCCTGGCTAAGTAGTCTATAAGATAATTTAATGGCTGTTATTGTTATTACGAGGAACTGTTTAGATAATCGCGTGGCAGAAAGTATCTCAATCGCGCCTCTAATGTGGATCCTCTTAATGGAAACGCACTCGTTTCCATGCTGCCATACAAGCGGCATCACTATAGTACATATTTAAAAACATTAAAATAAATTTATGATTTATAATTAACACTTCTATTATATTATAACTTATTATAGAATTTGATACACATACGTACAAAGGTTATCTTACATAATGAATTATCACACCAAGTGACAATCTAACCATTCTAAAATTCTTTAAATTGTGTACAGTAGAGTAATAAAGAAAGAAGGGACTGTTGCGAAAGGGAGTTGAAGTAATTCGATCAAAAGTAGTCGTTGTTCACCTCCTGGGTGAGAGGATGTCAACGACTACTAATAAATATTGGTCTAATATTAATATTTGAAAAGTGATTCGTGTTGGATAGGTTGTTATGGTCTCACATGTAATCAAAGTTACTAACCTTAATGTTCGAAAGNTTTTAAAAGCAAAAATTAATATAAAATCGATCATATTTTTAAAGATTAAGTACATAGTTCAACATGATAATTCCGGAACGATTAGATAAATCTTATCCAGAATCACATGACAGATGACTAGCAGAATTACCCTTCCATTGTAAATAAATACGGCGAAGAATCGAAAATTAATCAGTTGGAGTACATCCATCGCAGAAAAGATCAAAGTGAGTGTTTTTCATTTCTATCTCTTTTACTTTTGTGAAATTAAAGGTAAACTCTGTCAGGTATACCTTTACAGCCTGTTAAGGTATACCTGACAGAGTTTTAAGGTTACCTGACAGAGTGTTAAGGTATACCTTAAGAGGCTGTTAAGGTATACCTTAACAGCCTGTTAAGGTATACCTTAACAGCCTGTTAAGGTATACCTGTCAGGTACACACGTACCTGTATACGCGCCAGATACACTGTACTCTGCTTAAGTAAACTTCAATTGAATATACAATGATCAAATTCTTCTTCACAGATGAAAGCAATCGCCTTCATCTGCCTTTTTGTCGTCGTTGCTGCAAGAAAACTTCCTTTCAACCCAGACTACGACAAGAACTGGGAAACATTTAAGGTATTTAGCTTCACTTTATTAATGTTAACACGTCGTGTTGGCTCCTATAATTCTAGAAAACTTAATAATGTATTATAATTTCTTTAACTGTAGGCGAAATTCAATAAGAATTACGAAAGAAATGAAGAATTCGCTAGACGACTGGTGTGGGAAGAGAATTTGGCAGCTATTATAAAACATAACATAGAATACGATTTAGGTTTGCACACATTTACGAGAGGGCTTAATGAATATTCCGATTTGGTAGGTAGAACAATTATAATTAGAATAAACGTTACACTAAACTTTTTAGTGTAAGATGCATGATAGATGATTATGACGTGATACTTTATAGACCCGCCAAGAGTTCGTAAAGATAATGAATGGAGTGAAAAGAGGAGCGAACAGCACTGCAAAGCCTGTATACACTTTCACACGCCTTTCTAATGTACTTTTGCCCGATACAGTTGATTGGAGAAAAGAAGGAATGGTTACAGGAGTCAAAAACCAGGTATAGAAGAGTTTACTTAATGATTTTCAATTAATTAAACTAATTTTATAATGTTTAACTATTAGCAACAATGTGGTTCTTGTTGGGCTTTCTCGACCACCGGATCTTTAGAAGGGCAACACAAAAAGAAAACTGGTGAACTGGTTTCCTTGAGTGAACAGAATTTGGTAGACTGTTCTGGTAAGGAAGGTAAGGTTAATTTAATATATTTCTTCAATACTGTACCATAAATAAAATTATTTTAAAATCTTAGATTTCTCGCTTTGTTGCTAATTTTTCGCCAATTACTGTGATTTTATTATAATTATAAAACTTATAATATTATACAGTAGACAAAGTTTAATATCAGGAATTACTATACTAGTAATAGTACTGTATTAGAATATGAAACAATGTTGCTAATTTTTCTTTTTATATTATAAATATTCAGGTAATATGGGATGCGAGGGTGGATTGATGGACAATGGATTCGAATACATAAAAATAAACAGAGGCATCGACACCGAAAAATCTTATCCATACGAAGCTATTGTAAGAATCTTCGGATCTTTATGAAGTATTAATGGTATTTTTTGTATAATTAATTTAATTTAATCTCCATTAGGACGACACGTGCAGGTTTAAACGTTCGACTGTGGGTGCTACTTGTACCGGTTACGTGGATATCCCCAGTGGTGACGAAGACGCTTTAAAACAAGCTGTAGCAACCATTGGTCCAATTTCAGTAGCCATAGATGCCAGTCAAGATTCTTTCCAAGATTACCAGTAAATATATATAATTTTAACAGAATATTTTAATTTTCATTCTTGGCATTGGCACTCTCGGCATATCATTCCTATTAATGAATAACCGCACATTTATTAATTCTACTTCAATTATTTATAACAGAGATGGCGTTTATTACGAAAAGTATTGCAGCACAGAAGAGTTAGACCACGGAGTTCTGGTAGTTGGATACGGAACAACCGACGACGGACAAGATTATTGGCTGGTTAAGAACAGGTAAGATGAAAATTACTGTTTAAAAATGAAAATTTGCATGATTTTAAAACATAATTTTTAATTTTATTGTAGTTGGGGTACGAGTTGGGGTATTAACGGATACATCAAGATGGCCAGGAATCACAACAATCAATGCGGTATTGCCACTCAAGCCAGCTATCCTCTAGTGTAAAAAGTCTAATTTAAACATTTGATAGGCGAATATTTTTTATATTATAACTTTTTGTATAAAATAATGCTTGTAATACTACTTAATAGCTAAAAAACCGGCATGGATTAAAAAATAAAAGAACTGTTTATTGTGAAACGAATTTTACCACTTGTATAATCTATAGGCAAATGTAAATTATGTATATTAATTATAGATAATGTACTTGTACACTATTTATATGATTATTTAAAATAAATATATACGGTTGTTTATTAAAAGGGCTACCGTTTCCTCTACATTATCATATATTTTATATAATTCTCCTATGGAAGAATCCTAAAATATGCAATCGAAATCATTGAAGTTTTTTGGTTTTACTATTAAATAACGGTAATAAATAGAAATAAAATTGCTCGATTATATTTAAAACGGTTAATTACAATACAAAAGAGAAGTGTAAAATTAGCGGTGCCCGCCGAGGGGAAAGAATAATTTGGTAGGTAATGATTGTATTGTCGGACGGGTTAGCGCTTTGTGACGAATGAAAATAGGATTGTTTGATTCCCCCATCTTTCCTTTCGGTTCGTATGTACTATTATTTGTACTCTAACGGTATCCTCGGTCCCATTCAAATTACATGTTATTGTATTGGTTTGCGTTCGTTGTCCCGTGCATGTGTTTAGTGCATCCGGTTAATATGTCACTGTAGGTTTTTTCTTAATAGGTCTCTCTTCCGTTTCAGAAAATGGAAAATTATCTTCATTTGTCATACATCCGGTTCAAATGCTTACACGTGTAAAAAAACACACTTCCTCGTCTACTCTAATTATTAAATTACTAAAAATCTTGTTTCCCATTATAATAATATAAATACAGATATAATTACTTTGAAGATTTTGATGAAATAATTAAAATAATATTTATTTATTTTTTTCTTTNCACCGTATTTAAAATAGATTTATATTTGTATTCGAAATTTATTTTAAAAGTAATATATCACTACGTACGAAACTTTAAATATTAAACACAAATATTTTTCAGAAAGCTCAAATAAAAAAGACATTAGCGTGGTCAGAATTTACTTGAAGTAAATTCAAGTTCTCTGCCTCAAGTAAATTCTGGCTACTCTAATTTTCATTTGTATACAGTTCGAACCTCCAAACAACGACCACCTCCGAACGACGGTCACGTTCCTGTCTGTAGCCGTTCTTCGGGGGTTGATGATTGATTGATAAGCGAAATTTAAAAAAAAAAAAAACTTCTCTATCAAAGAATAATTTGAAGTACGTTTTGAAGAAATTTATAATGAGAAACCTGTCTAAAACAGTTTCACAGTAAATGGAAAACTTACCTAAACGAACCTTTACCTTTTCACATTTAGTATAATTCGTTACGTAGAAAGGACAAGAATACAGTAAGACCTGTGTAAACCGGAATCGCACAGTACCTGGTATCTTTTCCGTTTTAAACAGGTTTTTTTTGTTGAATTTGTTATCCAGAAGCTAATTTATTGTCTCGATTTTCTAACTGCCAGGTTGTGAAAGCATTATTTATTATTTATTTATTTATTTTTCAGGTGGCCTTCGAAGATTTCCATCCATTTCCAAGAAGATCTGACTTAGCGACTAAACAAACTTATTATGCAAAACTGTTAAAAGATAGCTCGAAAAAAAGAGAAAGGAGGAGAAAATCCTTTGCAGATATGGTATAATTAAGCATAAAATTAGTGTGTTTACCATTTAAAAAATTAAATAAGTAAGTAATTTAATTAGTATAATTGTTTTTTTAAGCTTCCTGAAATGATGATCGATTGGAAATTAAGTGCGACCAGCAGGCCTTGCATCGATTGTGCTACCGTATACGATAACAGTTAGGTTAATTGCAATTTTGTATAAATATTTGTGTGTTTAGAACACAGAAATATTGCTAAAATTTCGTATTTTTCTACGTCCAGACAAACTGTGGTTGGCGTATTGTCACACCAACGGTTCTCAGATTGTTAAAATCAATGCGGAAGATTGCATCATGTATAAATTAAACATAGAGGTAAAGGGGCGATTTTATTATTAATTATTCTTCTAACCGAATAAATATTTAAAAAATGTGATATTTTAGTGTGAATCCCGCATTATATGTATGCACTCTGCAACATCGGACATCTTGCTTCTGGGTACAGTCTCGAGCGTGGTACAGATGTACGATAACAAAAATGGGTTAGTATTTGTGTAAACCCGTGTAAAATTTAATCACTTCTAATTATATGCCAAGGAATTATGTGTAAAAATAAAAGAAATTTTTCTAATTTTATAGGAGATTATTATCGGAAGTGAAATTAAATGATTCCGTCCTTTGTTTACACTACCAAAATAAAGAGGAAGTTAATGTAATATATGCGGGCCTCGCCGACGGTACGTTAGGTGTGATCGAGGTAAATTGCTTAATTTGAGTAAATTAAATTTTTAATAAAGATTATTTTATGGCACTCGTTCTCTCGAGTGCCGTAAAATAGTCAATATCTGTAATTTTTGTTTTATTATTTAATTAAAATTTGCCATATTGGATAGACTTATACAGTACTTCTACAATATTAGATAATTTGAGTTTAAATTTGATCTAATTTAAGAATGAAAAAATAAAAATGATGCCCACGTCTGGCCGAGCTGGCACCACTAGGTCGTGGGTTCGCATCAATCCTGGCTGACCACGTAGAGTTTAACGGGTGTTTTCACGTGCGTAACACCTAAATAGGGTCCAGTTTCTATAGAAAGTGCTGACGGAAGGCTTCCCCCCTTGACAGATAGCCAACGTGTCGCGTTGCCTCATCCCTATTCACATATAAATAGATAATGAAATTAATAGTCGCTTAGATATATTTATTAAAGAAAATAGATGTTTAGAATTTAACAAATAATTTTTTATATTATTTTTTCTTCCCATTTGCAGAATATTTATGAAACAGGGAAGAAGAAAGAAGTATTTTACATAAGTATAGGTTCTAGTCCCGTTTCGTGTCTCTTGGAATTAGACTGGAGACTTTTATGTGCGTGTGGAAATCGTATATTCATCCTCAATTCCAGGTTATTTTATTATTAATAATAACTATTAAAAATTGCAATATTGAAGAATATTAATTGCATAATTAAATCGCCGCATACTTATTATTTCAAACGCAGAACGTTGGATACTTTGAACCAATTACAAATTACATGCAATGATATGGATCACATTTCGAATTTAGTGTGGAATGGGGATAACATTTGGACTTCAGTCAGAGGATCCTCCATATTGCACGTTTGGGACTCTCATACACTAGCGTGCAAACTTATCTTTGACGTCAAACATAATCGGCCCACGTGTCACTCTTCTAAGGTAAGTGCATGTTTAATGCTACGTTATTTAATTCTTTTCCTTTGAATATTTAAAAAATTATTTACAAGTTTAGAAATTTTAGGATGACGATTCGTTTCTTCAGCCCACGCATATAAATGCCATTCTTCCTATCGATAATGGGGTCATTGTTGGCACTTCTGATGGATCGTTATTAATATATGACGTAGAGAAGAAAATGTCGCGAAGTATTAGTTACACAGGATCCTCAATTTACGAATCGGTTGGAGAAAACATTGAGGTTTGTCCGTAAATTAAATACTTAGTTGGCTTTCAGTAAGGGAATTTCTATTGAATGGCGAATTAATTTGCATTTAGGAGGAGGCAGGACCTCTAGATAGACCCGAAAATTTTAGAATTACAAGTGAAATTTCGTTGCCTTTCGACGTAACCGAAAATGATATCGATCAAGAATTAACGATTACTCTGCAACCAAGAGGTGAATCAGCTCCTCCACGATTAGGAGAGGGTCTGCAAACATCTCGAGAGCTCTCAGAAAATTCTCTAATCTTAGAATTAGAAAATTACAAAAATAAACCGAGGCAATTAGATGATGCGGAAAATAAAAGCATTTCCTCAGTCAATTTGCGTCAAGGGTGCGGATTTTATGCGGTTCGAGACAATAAAACTGATCTAGCGGAATGTAAATCGCTTTCGTTAGCAAACAAAAGCGATCTTGTAAGTCCTAGTTTAGGTTTATAAAGGTTTATAAAATGACAGAAGGAATATAAAATGCCATTATTTTCATTTTTCTGCAGGTAATTGAAGGAAAAGAGATAAGCTTTCAGCCTGCTAATTTAACTCCAGCAGTCAGTTTGGTTTCGTTTAATAGCATTGATTATCTCTATTGTCTCGAACTTGTAATAAAGGAGAAAATTAAAATTGGAGATAAACCGATTAAATGCCTTCTGGACGTCAAGTAAGGATCCAAATTTTAAAATATAATTATCTAATTTTTAAACTTTTTATTCGCTTATTTCCTTTGGTTTAGATGCAACAACGAAGTAAATTTTATATCGTGTGCTGGTCTTTACGGAGAGGAGGATGCAGTGATGAAGTGGAGCAGAGAAGGAAAGGTAATTTTTTTAGTTTGGTTTTTCTCTTCCTTCAACTTGTTTATTTTGTGCTTATCTCTTATCTTCTCAGATGCTGTGGACAGGCAAACAAATATTAGACATTTGTCCAATTACACCCAAGCAATCTTCGCTTTCAGATCAGAAAATGTTCAGCAACAGTATGGTGGGTGCAGCTGGTTCATCTTTTATAAAAACCAGGAAAAAGTCGATGGCCGAGAAAATCGAATTAAGCGGAATCAACAAAGTACAAACGTTGTTTTCAAGTTACCTGGAAAATAAAAAATAGAATATAAATATATATATTAAACATTTATGTATCTTGTTAAAGTGAGAGAGAAAGGAACAAAATTGAAATAAAAAATTTAATCGGTTTTAAATTATTAATTCATTCAGAAAAGAATTCTTTTTGTGGAGTTAAATGTAATAATTTAGTGTTTAAAAAGTTTCAAACATTTATTTTTAATATTTATTATTTTAAATTACGGTAAAACCACTGATTATAAAATAATTTAATGTAAAATAAAGAAGTTTCAAAGATAAATTGTGGATTTATTGATTAACAGGGACCTTTCCCATTTAGGAAAAAAAAATTTTCTCTCTACGCCATTCAGTATTATTTATATTACACACGTGCAACGGCCTCCTACATAATTTTTGAAAATGTCTACCCTAAATTTGTTTGAGGGGAAAAAAATATGTCAAATCTCTAATATATTTTTTATATTTGCAGAGTTTTATCCACCACGAAGAGGTCGATACTGATTCCATTGTGAAGCCTGGTGTAGTGTATAGCACGGTGTACGCTACACCATGCTTTACAATGGGATCAGTATACATTAATTAACACATATCCATAGATTTTACAAAGAAAACTACAAGAAAAATCAATTTTTTAAAATTTAGTTTCGTGATTTTGTCCGATATCAAAATGAAACATAAATAAATCGAAATATTTCGAGGATTAGATTATTTGTATAAGGCAAAACACACGTGGGCGATCTACCAAGTGAGGAATGCTTCCTCTCTGTGGGCCTTTTTTGACACCATAGGAAGAAGGCCGCTATTTATGCCCTCTTCTATGGGACCCTATTTAGTTGTTACTAACGTGAAGAAAGTCCATGTGTTGGCCAGGCATAACCCATGACCAGTTAGTGTCCAATGATTTTATCGACTGGTGGGCCAAAATATTTCATAAACTTTTATTTACTATTTAATTTACTTTCACTTTTTAAACGTGTTCGAAATACGTTCTTACGAGATAAAAATAGCACACATCTCACAATAGATGCAATATATAACAATGTTAACTATCAAATGAACCTTTTATCAAATCACGCGAATGATCTAGTTATTGACTAGAGATTAAAAAATAAGATAACGATTCACATATTTTTTTAATATATACTTTAATTAATCAATTAGAATTATTATATTAACCACTAATTAAAATTTCGATATATTAATTCTATTAATTCGAATTTTTAATATTTATTTTTATAAACAATAAGTACAGTAATACTATTTCTGTGGCAAATTTTCTATGTAATTATCCCAATTTCGCGATAATATTCTTGCTCAATATTATATATTATCGATACAAAATATTTTATTAGGAGATATAACAGACCCTTGTCACACTTCTTTTTTTTATGGAAGATAGGCCTATATTATTAAATGAATTTTTAAAATAAAAATAAACCAAGTTATTTAAAATTATTGTAGAAAAATCGAATGTATATTATTGTGGCATCGTCACAATGCCGGACTGCAATTTTTAATCATATTTTAATTTAAAAATTACCCCACTTCCGGTCAGAACCGGAAGTTCATGCTTAGCTTGCGATATCCGGTCTCGATTTTCATCTAAATCCTTTCTTGTGATTAACGAACGACGGACGGACGGACAGACGGACTATAGTGGTAATGTATAGGTCTGTAATTTAAAAATTGCAGCCCAATAAGAACTGCTTTTATATCCTGTGTAGTTCTTATTTGCCGGATTTTTTTAGAAGGAAACACTGTTTAACAAAAGAAATTATGCGATAAAATAAATTTTAACAATAGAAAATTAATATACTATAAAAAAAACTGAGAAATTTCGACTGTTTCTTTATGTTTTGATGGTCTTAACTCCAGTTAGATTTCATTCTTAACGGACATTTTTCTCAGAGCACCAAGAGGTTCCTTTATTGTATTTATCGTGGGTTCGGCCAGGCTCACAGTGGGGTCGATCTGGTGGTGTGGGAAGGAGCCTGACGTATCTGGGAAAAATTCCAGGGGGTTTCCGACCGCCAGGATTCGATTCCGGGTGTCCTACAGTGGTAGGCAAACACCTTAATCTTATCCATATAACGGACATCGATCACCTTTAATCAGATAAATCCAATAAATATAAGTACATTTTCACATTTATATTTCTATTTCAATTGTTTTTAGACAAAAAATTTAAGATTTTTCAAAGCCCAATTGATATGTATGACACATTTAGGCTATATATTACACGCGTGTAACTAGTTTCAGGCTCTGTACTTACGTAAGCGAAAGAATTTGAGATGGGAATTATTTTTAAAAATTTCAAAATGATCGATGATGATATATTAACTTGATAAATAATTAAATATTCAAATTCTTTTTAATTAATTAATAAAAAACAGCATTGTAATTTATTCCCGCTTAAATCATTTGAATATTTTCATATATATATCAATGAATGTTTGAAAGTTTACCCTGAATTACCTGCTTAAAATGAAGGGAATTTCAGATGTAAATATTAATTAATAAATATATTTTCAGCTTTAAAAAGTTCTTTCCGTGCAGAATTGAAAATTAATTAAGAGCTGTACTTAATAAAAATTAAAGCGTTTTTTTTCCTCTAGTTAATTAACGCTTAAAGTTAATTAATATTTAAAAAAACTCAATAAATTTAAATAATTTTCGCAGAAAATTCATAAGCGAGTTTCCCCCCAAAAAAGAAGAATTTGTTGGCATCAGTGAAACTAAAAATTACAAAGGAAAACGAATTGTCATCACTAAACAAAACCGAAATTTAAATTAATTATTAGCAATTTTTTTTTATAATTTTAAATTTTTCTTAAATTCAATAAATAGCTTTACGTCATTTTTATAAATTTATAATAGAAAATATGATAATACGATTATTTGAAAGTCAAATGACACGGTTAAGTAAGCAATATCTTATCATTTGGCATATGATATCCTCTGGTAAATATCACGTGTTCCTTAAACGAAAATACTTTTACAAGTTTATTTTCTTCAGTATTTAAATAATTAATATTAGAATTTTAATTGCAATTAACTAGCTTTTATATGAGTAACATTTCATTAAATCTCATTCTTCTATGAAAATGTTTTAATTACTGTTAAACGACGTAAATTATTACCAATTTTATTAATTACTAATCCTTGCCCAACACTGGCCTAGTGGATAAAACCACTGAACAGTAGTTTGTGTGGGTTCTTGCCTCATCAAAGGACTATCCACGTGGAGTTTTCCAGGTTTCCTTCACGTTAGTAACATCCAAATAGAGGTCATTTCTATTAAAAGTTCTTCCGGGAGGCATCCCCTCGACACATCGTCCTTGTGTCAGTTGACATATACAAACAAACAGTTATTAATCTTTATTTTAATATCATTTTACAAGTTTGGCTTTGAAAAATAATGTAGGCCTATATACAGTAATTTCTCTGCAGACACTAATATTGTACAGGCCGTGGTTATAGTGTGTTTAAAAAATTAATAAAAATATTGAAAAATATATTTTTATATAATAGAACGTTTTAAAAGCAAAAATTAATATAAAATCGATCATATTTTTAAAGATTAAGTACATAGTTCAACATGATAATTCCGGAACGATTAGATAAATCTTATCCAGAATCACATGACAGATGACTAGCAGAATTACCCTTCCATTGTAAATAAATACGGCGAAGAATCGAAAATTAATCAGTTGGAGTACATCCATCGCAGAAAAGATCAAAGTGAGTGTTTTTCATTTCTATCTCTTTTACTTTTGTGAAATTAAAGGTAAACTCTGTCAGGTATACCTTTACAGCCTGTTAAGGTATACCTGACAGAGTTTTAAGGTTACCTGACAGAGTGTTAAGGTATACCTTAAGAGGCTGTTAAGGTATACCTTAACAGCCTGTTAAGGTATACCTGTCAGGTACACACGTACCTGTATACGCGCCAGATACACTGTACTCTGCTTAAGTAAACTTCAATTGAATATACAATGATCAAATTCTTCTTCACAGATGAAAGCAATCGCCTTCATCTGCCTTTTTGTCGTCGTTGCTGCAAGAAAACTTCCTTTCAACCCAGACTACGACAAGAACTGGGAAACATTTAAGGTATTTAGCTTCACTTTATTAATGTTAACACGTCGTGTTGGCTCCTATAATTCTAGAAAACTTAATAATGTATTATAATTTCTTTAACTGTAGGCGAAATTCAATAAGAATTACGAAAGAAATGAAGAATTCGCTAGACGACTGGTGTGGGAAGAGAATTTGGCAGCTATTATAAAACATAACATAGAATACGATTTAGGTTTGCACACATTTACGAGAGGGCTTAATGAATATTCCGATTTGGTAGGTAGAACAATTATAATTAGAATAAACGTTACACTAAACTTTTTAGTGTAAGATGCATGATAGATGATTATGACGTGATACTTTATAGACCCGCCAAGAGTTCGTAAAGATAATGAATGGAGTGAAAAGAGGAGCGAACAGCACTGCAAAGCCTGTATACACTTTCACACGCCTTTCTAATGTACTTTTGCCCGATACAGTTGATTGGAGAAAAGAAGGAATGGTTACAGGAGTCAAAAACCAGGTATAGAAGAGTTTACTTAATGATTTTCAATTAATTAAACTAATTTTATAATGTTTAACTATTAGCAACAATGTGGTTCTTGTTGGGCTTTCTCGACCACCGGATCTTTAGAAGGGCAACACAAAAAGAAAACTGGTGAACTGGTTTCCTTGAGTGAACAGAATTTGGTAGACTGTTCTGGTAAGGAAGGTAAGGTTAATTTAATATATTTCTTCAATACTGTACCATAAATAAAATTATTTTAAAATCTTAGATTTCTCGCTTTGTTGCTAATTTTTCGCCAATTACTGTGATTTTATTATAATTATAAAACTTATAATATTATACAGTAGACAAAGTTTAATATCAGGAATTACTATACTAGTAATAGTACTGTATTAGAATATGAAACAATGTTGCTAATTTTTCTTTTTATATTATAAATATTCAGGTAATATGGGATGCGAGGGTGGATTGATGGACAATGGATTCGAATACATAAAAATAAACAGAGGCATCGACACCGAAAAATCTTATCCATACGAAGCTATTGTAAGAATCTTCGGATCTTTATGAAGTATTAATGGTATTTTTTGTATAATTAATTTAATTTAATCTCCATTAGGACGACACGTGCAGGTTTAAACGTTCGACTGTGGGTGCTACTTGTACCGGTTACGTGGATATCCCCAGTGGTGACGAAGACGCTTTAAAACAAGCTGTAGCAACCATTGGTCCAATTTCAGTAGCCATAGATGCCAGTCAAGATTCTTTCCAAGATTACCAGTAAATATATATAATTTTAACAGAATATTTTAATTTTCATTCTTGGCATTGGCACTCTCGGCATATCATTCCTATTAATGAATAACCGCACATTTATTAATTCTACTTCAATTATTTATAACAGAGATGGCGTTTATTACGAAAAGTATTGCAGCACAGAAGAGTTAGACCACGGAGTTCTGGTAGTTGGATACGGAACAACCGACGACGGACAAGATTATTGGCTGGTTAAGAACAGGTAAGATGAAAATTACTGTTTAAAAATGAAAATTTGCATGATTTTAAAACATAATTTTTAATTTTATTGTAGTTGGGGTACGAGTTGGGGTATTAACGGATACATCAAGATGGCCAGGAATCACAACAATCAATGCGGTATTGCCACTCAAGCCAGCTATCCTCTAGTGTAAAAAGTCTAATTTAAACATTTGATAGGCGAATATATTTTATATTATAACTTTTTGTATAAAATAATGCTTGTAATACTACTTAATAGCTAAAAAACCGGCATGGATTAAAAAATAAAAGAACTGTTTATTGTGAAACGAATTTTACCACTTGTATAATCTATAGGCAAATGTAAATTATGTATATTAATTATAGATAATGTACTTGTACACTATTTATATGATTATTTAAAATAAATATATACGGTTGTTTATTAAAAGGGCTACCGTTTCCTCTACATTATCATATATTTTATATAATTCTCCTATGGAAGAATCCTAAAATATGCAATCGAAATCATTGAAGTTTTTTGGTTTTACTATTAAATAACGGTAATAAATAGAAATAAAATTGCTCGATTATATTTAAAACGGTTAATTACAATACAAAAGAGAAGTGTAAAATTAGCGGTGCCCGCCGAGGGGAAAGAATAATTTGGTAGGTAATGATTGTATTGTCGGACGGGTTAGCGCTTTGTGACGAATGAAAATAGGATTGTTTGATTCCCCCATCTTTCCTTTCGGTTCGTATGTACTATTATTTGTACTCTAACGGTATCCTCGGTCCCATTCAAATTACATGTTATTGTATTGGTTTGCGTTCGTTGTCCCGTGCATGTGTTTAGTGCATCCGGTTAATATGTCACTGTAGGTTTTTTCTTAATAGGTCTCTCTTCCGTTTCAGAAAATGGAAAATTATCTTCATTTGTCATACATCCGGTTCAAATGCTTACACGTGTAAAAAAACACACTTCCTCGTCTACTCTAATTATTAAATTACTAAAAATCTTGTTTCCCATTATAATAATATAAATACAGATATAATTACTTTGAAGATTTTGATGAAATAATTAAAATAATATTTATTTATTTTTTTCTTTATTAATTTCTTTTCTAAGAAAATATTTTAAGAAATAAAGAAATTGTAAATTGTAATAATTAATATAATGATAACTTATAATTATAATAGAAAAAAGGGACAATAATTCATAATTTAAAATTAATAATAGATGAAAATTTAAAATAATTCCACGTCATTTTAAACTTTCTCTTTCACTTCTAATTAATTTTGAGTTTGACTTTCACTTCTAATTAATTAATTAATTAATTAAAACTAATTTTGATACAGTCTAAAAATTAATTGTAACTGCAATGTCCCCCTCAAAAATATATGTTACATCTCTTGATTATTAATAACTTCTATCTTTATTTTCTTAATTTTAATTTAATGAATTTATGTAAAATTGAAATCTAACTTATAAAATTATTAAATTAGAATAAAGAATAAAATAAAAATAAAATAAAGTTTTATTTATTTATTCTGAAAGACATATATTTTAATTAATTCAATTTTAATACAGTTGTATATTATACTGTGTTTTATTTCGGATATAATAGACAACAGTTAATACAGCACCCCACGTCTTGTATGTCACACGGAGTGAGTGGAAGAGTGGTATCATTTTTCTGTATTAAACATTATATTTCAGGAGCCAAAAATAATTTCACACTCGATCCCGGACTGTAGCGTATTCAATAGTTTTGTGGAGGGAAACCTGGACCAAACTATTGAATGTGTAAATCTGTCCCCGTCCATAATTTAAACATAGTGAAAAGCATACATGTATGAAGTGAGACGGCTTACGGTACATTCTCTGAATAGAAAAGGGAATTCATACTTAGAAATAGACTTGTAGTAAATGCATTAAAAACCGAGAAACTGCATACAAATCTATTTCTATAAAGATTTTGAAGTTTTATGACCGCGAAAATAAAATATTTAAATAAATTATCACGTTATAAAGAGAAATATAGCATAATAAAACATAAAAATATTCGAAAAGTTTAAAAAATTTGGATACGTCTTTTATTATTCGAATAAATTTGCCCATTTAAAAATCTCACTCTAAACATATCGCACATATTTATTTTAACGTAAAAAAACATACAATAATATGCGTAATTTAAGCTTTTGCACTAAATTATGCACTAATTAATTTATGCATAAAAATGAAATGTTTCCATTGATTCGAATATGTAAGAAACTGAGTAAATGCTGAAAGTGCACAGTTCCCAACTGAAGATCCACAGGACAACACGCATTGGTAATTCATGCGTGATAACATTCTTGGCACGCTACTTGGAATGTCACCGGTCATCCAAATTGCAGGGATTGTTTACATAAACTCTATTCTTTAGAAGAGATGTTTTGCATAAACTCTATATATTCTTAAACGAATAACTCCAAAGAGCGATAAAACCTGTGTAAAACGAAATCGCACTGTAAACCGATGTATTTTCCGGTTTAGCAGGTTTCCGTTCGGAATAGGTTCTTTTTAACTTAGAAAATCTCTTCGTTTCGAAGAATTTTTTCCGTTTACGCAAGTTTCCGTTTTACACAGGTTTCACTGTATAAGCTAATTCCGAGGTGATTACGTTGACAATTCTGTATATCAATTATAATAATAACTTCTATACTAATTTTATAGGCAATAATTCTAATTGAAATTATAATATTAACATGCTCAATAAAAGCTACGTATAAATTCCACCTTTATTTTGTGTTCTTAATTATAAACGATTAAAACAACACTGACTAAAATTAAAATATGTCAACGCTATTGTAAATCATAACCGAGAAGTGCCCAAAATATAATAATTTATATTTAAAATTTGAATTGAAAAAACTACAGTCGACCCCCCTATAATTACGGTCCCTATAGTTACGATTCCTATAAAACTACGAAAAAATTGCTACCGGTATCCGTAAAAAATAGTAAAAATTCCCTATAAACACCTCAAACGTCATCGGGCAGCCGAACTACTTTCCCGCCGTCCGTAGCGCCACGCTACGGAGAGATTTCTATCGTCTGGACAGTATTATATAAATTATATATAAATTAGGTACTGTACATATAATTATATATTAATTATATATAAATTAGGTACTGTATATATAATTATATATTAACTTATTGTAACTTTGTTATAATTAAATATATAATTTCCGCCGTCTAGCGTGGCGCCACGCTACGGAGATTTTTACGCTAACTATCGTCTGTCAGTATGTAAATTAGGTACCGTAAGTCTAATACAGTACTGTAATTTTATACATTTCTTGTGAAAGAAACATTTCTTATTCAACGGCGATTAAAATTATTTATATTAATGATGTCTCCGAAGTTCTACGAAGTTTTCACAGAAAAATAAGTTGTTAGAAATCGGCCGCTCTTTGCTGAGCTGTTCCGCGACGAAAACAATGTTGAGCAATGGCAATGTCGAATGGTGACACTCGGTAAGTAATCCTACAATTTTTTGTTTATAGCGTAGTTTATACGGATTATTCCCAAAAAATATATACGTATTTTGGAAATGTTGAGTCGGATTAGTCTAGAATCGATTAATTTTATGGAAGAAAATCTTTCAAACAGCCGTAGTCCGTAAACTTGACACGTGTCGGGTTGTGATTGGAAGGATTCGTAAGAAAGCGGATTCCTAGAGAATGGAACATATCTCTATCTTATAGGGGGGTCGACTGTATATTACATCTTATTCCAAATTCGTGCTGCCATCTGTTATCGAATATTGGAAATTCTATTATTGTAGTTGTGTTGTTTAACACAACTATAATAATAGAATTTCCAATATTTGTTTAATAATATATGCGATTTGGAAGGTAAAATAAATAGGCCAATAACTTATTTAGTTGATAAACATGCTTTATTAGGTGCATTCATTTTGTCACAATGGTGCACACTCTTATTACACACTTTTACGTCAATTTGACGTCATTCCTGTAGTTTATTGTAATGGAATAATGTAAAATGACGTCATTGCTGTACTTTATTATAACAGAAAAGTGTGAAATGGCGTCAAATGGGCCTATAAGTTTACAACATTCTGACAAAAAGAATGCATCTTACATGAAAATAAAAGCTTTATTTCGATAAATTCTTGATAATTTTCACTTTCTGATTTGCTTGTATAATAAACAATTGGTTCTCCAACAAATTATTCTTCACAAAAATACAAAAAAGTGTAATACAAGTAGAGTCTTTGTTGTTACAAAAGTTAAATAATGATATATTGTTGTAAACAATTAAGAAATATTGAAATATTATTTAAATATTTCGATGGAATTGATAGTTTTGATTTGCTTAAAATAACTAAGAATAGGATCTTAGAGTGATGAAAAAAGTTTTAAAATGGAGGAAGGCTGAACTTGTATATTCATACAAATTCGTTGCGTATACAACAGATAACTCTTCCCGAACACTAGAGTACAATACTATGATAAGTTAAGTTCTTACTTTGACCGACTGAAGCAGAATCGAGATCTCCTACGTACAGATATTTGATTTTCTAAAAATTTCTGCAATAGAAAATACCAGCGCTTATGTATGTTCCTCATCTTGTAATGACCGAATCAGATGACAGGAAAAGCTGTGATTCTCCTGTCATCTGAACTTTATGATACACAGCGACTCTTGTTGGAGCTCTTCTTAAAACTTTTTTCATTTTGAAATACATATATTTGTTTGGAACATTTTGCACGAGCTGATTTACATACCAAATTAAAGGCGTGTGCTATGCTTGAATTGTGATTCGAGTTGACAAACATTGGTTTTAAACTCCTGAAAGCTGAGATCATGTAAGGTGCTTGATCTCTTAGGATAGCCTGTGCATTTTGATATTTAATGCCATCCGGCCTCAGTTTTATATAGGCATCATTAAATGCATGCATTACGTAGGAATTATCACACTTTTTACTTATGTATATTTTTAGGAGCATTGCATCTATCGATTTGCCTGTTACTGAAAGGTCACTAAAATATTCAAAACGAACCGTTTCATGTCACCGATTGTTTTGTCCACAAGAAACAAAACAAGATTATCTTTAATAATATTTTTTATATTACAGTACCGATTTTTTTGTTTCTTTCATCGGTTGAACATAACATTTTCTTGAAGTATTTCCATTGGGAATGGCTTTGTGAGTTCATCTCTCCAAAAACTTTTTCAAACTTAATTAGAGGAATCCCAGAATAAAAGAAAGCTATTGTTAAAAATGAAAACAATTCGTTTCTGTAAGCAGCACTATTATTACTTTCTGTCATGGATTTTGAAATAAAGGTTTGTTTTTTTTTCTTGGTTTTTTTGCTTTGATATCTTTCCGTTTGGTCAAAATAAGCTTTTAAAGACGTTTCGACTAGTGTTTTCGTCAATAATCGTCGTCACGTCACA